TCCCTCTCCATCGCACTTTTTCTTATCTTGCCGTTAAAGAAATATTATTTAATATTATATGACGCTTCATTTTAATAGACGTTTATCAATAATAATATATTACGAAAGGCACTTCGTTCCAACCGAGTGTTCCACGACACACACATGTTTTTTTATGTTATTCTCCCGATAACTAACTATATAGCTTATTTTACATAGCCTTTTTTCAGTGTTTTTCCTAAAATTATTAAATCTGCTGTGTATTAGTCCCATTAGTCTTTAGTTTTCCTTAATAATTTTATCGAAATTATAAAAGTTTTGTTTTAAGTTCATCTTATATTATCAATATTGTGTACATAATAATATAATAGGTATACATACGAGGGGTGATCCAAAAGTAATGATAATGAAAATAAAACACTGTAATTAAAGTTAAAATAATAATTTATTTTTCTACATAGTCTCCTAACAAATAAATACATTTAGTCCATCTTTTTTTCTAAACCCAGGATTCCCTTTAAAAAAAATTATTTGTCTTGACCATCCCAAAACGCTTCAACAGCGGCCTTTACTTCGCTATCGTCTTCGAATTTCTTGCCTCGGAGGCGTTCCTTGAGCCGAGGAAAGAGGTAGAAATCACTAGGAGCTAGATCTGGCGAATAGGGAGGGTGTTCGAGCAGTTCGAATCCCGTTTCTTAAATGACAGCCATCGCAACTGCGGCTTTGTGAGCCGGTGCGTTGTCTTGGTGAAACAGCACTCCAGCTCGCAGTTTGCCGCGTCTTTTTTCCTTAATGGCCTCCCGTAATCTTCTTATTTGGTCTGCGTAGTAAGAGCCCGTAATAGTGGCTCCCTTTTCCAAATATTCCACCATAATTATGCCTTGAGCGTCCCAAAAAACAGATGCCATAACCTTTCCTGCCGAACTTGAAACTTTGAATTTCTTTGGCGTCGGTGAGGAGGCTCGCTTCCAAGTCATCGATTATTGTTTCGTTTCAGGATCAAAATGGTGGATCCAGGTCTCGTCCATAGTCACAAAACGGAACAAAACATTTTCTTGATCTGCTTGGAACTTTTCGAGATTGACCCTCGAAATGTCAACTCGATTTTTCTTTTGCTGGTCGGTTAACATTCTGGGTACCCAACGCGCCTTTTTCATATGCAACTCGTTCGCAAGGATTCTTTGAACGCTGCCATATGAGATCCCTGTGACCTCAGCTACATGCCTGATGGTCACTCTTCGATCTGCCAACACAACATCTTCGACTTTCTTGTCTTCAGTGAGGGACGTGGATGGGCGTACTTCGCGATGTTCATCTTCAGTGGATGTTCTGTCCAGTTTAAACTCCTTGGCCTAGCGTGCAACTGTAGAATATGGAGGAGCAGAGTCGTCCCCCAATGTTTCCACTAAGTCACTGTGTATGTCTTTTGAAGACATTTTTTTCAAACAGAGGTACTTGATGACAGCTCTAATTTCGTTGTCCTCCATGTTGATGTTATCTCTTTGACAGTTCGTATTCAAATGAATGTATCTCCCGGAAATCGTGATCTATTTATATGATTTTTTTAGGCTGACGTAGTGAGTATATAAGCAAGCAAAAAATATTTTTTTTGGATTTTTATGCGGACCTGAAGTAACCGATTATCATTACTTTTGGATCACCCCTCGTATAAGACCACGACAATAATTTATAAGACTTGTTTATATTCTTACATAATATATGTATGTATTATGTACTACCGTAGGTGTATCTTATTAATAAATAAGGTGACAAAACAATCAATAACATTTTCCATGATTCTCGTGGTGATAAACATGGGAGACAGCAATATTTAGTTTTCCCGGAAATTAAAAATAATGCAAAATAAAAATACGAGATAATATTGAGCTTTTAATTTATGTAAAACCTTCCGAACTAATAAATTTAATCGTCAAGAATCTAAATTGACCTCAAGTTGTCGCACTTGTTCCTGCGCAAAATTTTTAATTAATACTTATTTACTTACTTACTTATCGTCACGCACAATCCCTGACGGGGTAGCCAGAGAGAACAGATCGCCAAGTGTCACGATCCTTACATACCTCTTTCAGATTAATACGAGTAGAAAAAATCGAACATGAAAATTATTGTGGTGATTTCATAAGTTTTGATCATTTTAGCTAAGATTATACTTAGAAACAAAAAAAAACATGTTAAATAATTTAAAAAATAAAAAAATAAGTTTAGCTTACCAAACAACGTTTGAGACATTTCTTCTTTCGATGGGATAGTGTTGGCCAAAATCTGAGATTTTGAAGTTCACAATAATTTCCATCTTAGCCGGGTTATGAACTTCAATGTCAAAAAATGATAGCATAAATACCACAGGCGGTGACTAAACTTGTTTATAGCAACTTTAGAAACTGTTGTGTCAACTTATTAGTAGTATTATTACGCCTTCAAGAAGCAGAAATCTTGGTTAGGTGCTTTAATCGCCATTGTGCATTCAAGCCAAGGTTTTACATGCAATGTGTCGATAAATAAGCAAATATTTTGTACAGCCTTTTTGTCCTTCGCAATCATTCTGAATTGAAATTAAAGAAAACATATTTTTAAACTGTTAACCATAAATCGTGCGTGATGCCCAGGCGACTTTATTTTTGTTTTCTTGTCTGAATCTCCTCCCAAAAACACATATTCTTTTACGAAATCAAGGCATAGTTCAATATACCTATTTTAGAATTTTTTAAGTACAAAATATTTTCAGAAAATCTAATAAATTTTTTAGTCATGAATTCACTTTGTGCATCAACAATTTACACTCCATATGGCTTGCAAAAGCTTTTAGTGGTAGTGGAGTTGTTTTTGAAAGTGCTTAATTTCAAACTTACATTATAGATGCTGTTCATGAAACTAGGGAGCTCTTGTAATATTATCATAAACAAAGTGATCTGATGATAAATATGGTCGAGTTATGGACTACGCCTAAGTACCTACGATGCTTGACCCGAATTGAATGACGTGGTTCCTAATTGACGCCGTTTTTTTGTGTCCAAAGCATTCAATGACTCATAAAAAGGCATTCCAAAATGCAGTTCTTTAAGTCTTTAAATATTTTTATTGTGAAATCATGATATAATAATTGGAATGGGTTGATAATATTGTCATAGTAACAAAACTTATTTTAATTTCGTTTTTGCTCTTTTTGCTTCCTGTGATTATGATATGAATCAGTATCACATTGACTTGACCTTTTTAATTTTTTTAAAGAGACTAGAGACCAAAAATGAGTAGACTAAGCTCGAAAGTAAGAAGAATTGTGCGAGGACTAATTTCAAATTTGTTTGCCCTAAATATAATAGAATACGTTAAATAATAAATTGTAATCATATGAAATTTGTGTATAACTAAAACATTGCGAAAATCTCGACATTATATGATTAAAACTATAACTATTGATCCAAATACTAAGCTAAACTTTTGTTTCTCCTTATATAAATTCGAAAACTTTAGTTAACTTATTGATTTAATGAAGCGAATCGCAATTCAGTCATATTGCTTGCAAACTTTTTGTAAACTTCACGTTGAAAGCGCCGAGCAACTCCGTCGAAAACTGCAACACAACATGTTGGCAGCATTTCGTGTAGGTTTTGCAACTAAGCAAAAGTTTTTAAAAGTACTACTTACGTACACAGATCTAGATATTATACCAGTGCTTAGCATTATTTAAACGATTATAGACTTTGATATAAATTAATCTCCATATATAAAAATCAATTGCTGTTCCTTAGTCTCGTTAAAACCACTAAAACTCGAAAAATAAAGGGCTCCAACGTTTTGATGTTTGTGTGCGTTTGAGTGGGTCCCCAGATGGTTTAAATTTACAATTAGACCCGGTAGGTGGCGCTATTCTCGAGATCAGAAATCACCCGTGTGAAGCCAGGGCGTATCGCTAGTATTGTATAAATATTGAACCGACATTTAGAAAAGGGGAGGCTATCATGCTATCAATCCCCTTTTTTATATTAGCCCCACATAAATTTCAAAAGGATTAAATGTGGTCAGTGTGGTCATTAAAGTTCAAGCGGTCTTCTCGTATAGGTACTAGACTAATTAATAATTAGGAGCAATTAATTACTGATAATTAACAGTATACAATGACAAACTTTTATTAGCATGTTATGAAAGTACGTAAGAATTAAATTTCGGTAGACAAAATACACCGCGTTGCCTCAGGGAATGAGATCCCGCCTACACGAGCAAACAAAGGTTCGATTTCCACCAGCAGCAATAAAAATTGTTTAATGCAATTTTAAGTGCTGATTTACCTCGTGCTTGGCGGTTAGAGAAAAATCGTAAAGTATCCTTCATACCTAAGAAATAAAAAAATCGAGGATATGATATGAAGTTCGCCAAAACATGAGTCAAAGCAAACATTTCCTTGCCCCCAAACAACTAAACTTGCCGAGCGGTGGCATGTATGTATACTTCTTCTGCTATACTTCTTTTTACCCAACTTTCATTATTATATTAGATAGTATTTCATTGTTTCCCCTTTTATTACCAGGAGAACAGTACTTATACGTCGAATCGTATACAGAATGCTATTATATAGATGGTTTGTTATAATATAGTCGCTGGTATCCGGCGCGTTGCTACCACAGAAGAAACAACTGTGGAAATATCGTTTTAAATTTGGAAGAGCTTAAGAATAATAATACATTCATTAAAGTTGAATGATATAACTTTTTTTTTGGTACCATACGCGTGCCAACTACTGTAAGTTAATTGTACTATGTCTATAACGTTCACGCACGCCAGTGCAAACAATAACTTGACAATGTTTTACCGTATTCTGATGAACTGTTTGGCAGCGAATAAAATACGAACAAAAATATTCAATTTTTATATATTAGATTGCACTCTAAATTAGCAAATATTTCATAGGAGTCTCTTACTAAATCCCATCAAAACACTTAAAATAGGCTTTCATATATAGTTGACAAATTATGTATTTATTGTTCTTTTTCTTTTGGTTTCAGCTCAAATGCAGCCCCCGCGTTTCAGTATGCAACCTTCATCCTTAAATAGCATCGTTCGAGAGGGCACTACGAAAATTTTACAGTGCTCGGCAGTGGGTGAGGAACTAATATCTCAATATTTTCTACCTTTATGCTTTAGTTAACCTAAACAACTTTTATAAATAATTGCATGTTTTATAGGGATTCCGCAGCCAATCTACAGGTGGTTAAAAAATGGCGTTCCACTGGGTGAATTTTCGTCAGAAGTCTTCTACAAAATTCACAATACACAGCGTCAGGACGCGGGCGCCTACCAATGCATAGCAAAAAATGACGTTGGAGCTATTTTCAGTGAAAAGAACAACATTGTCGTGGCGTGTAAGTAATGCACGCTTAATTTTACTTAACATTGTAAAATACCTTTTCTTATAGGTAAAATTATTTTTATAAAGGCGTGTCTTTAGAAATTTCTCCTCTAGGTACGGTGGAGGCGTTTTGTACACATAAATTGCAGATGGACAAACATCCAGATCCGAAACAATTATTAGTAGGCCATACGAATGGTAAATTTCCTTGCGAGATTCGAATCAACAATCGACAGCGACGAAGGCAAATGCTTATTTCACTACACTACTAAAACCAAACCATCCAAATTTTCTAATAGTGATAGAGCATCAATATATACACTATAATTTAAGAACATTATATATTGTAGTTTAATTCTTTCTATTTTAAATTTTTCTATTTTAAATAATAAATAAAATATCCTTGCCTATTTTAAAGCATTGGCATAATATATTGAATGGTCGTCATCATATTTAATGATGTATATTTTGCTTCTTGGTAACTAAATGTTAAAGAATAATTATAAACAATATAAATATAGCATAAGATTCATAAATTAACATACATACATACATACATCTTATTTTTTTATTTAGGGGCTATTTTTCCTTAGTTTTAACATTGCCTTTGTTGTTTTATTAGTTTGAAAGCTACCGTATAATGATGAGCATAAGACGGTAAATCAGACTAGGATAAGAGCATAATGTTGTTATTAATTCCACCTTTTTAATTTTAAACCGTTTTTAGCCTTGCAATTTAGCTGTTGGGTGTTTGTCCTAAATTCATATACTACGCGAACAAACCTAGTTCGTTCTTAACGTTAGTTCTGGCAACTACTGAAATTGTCAATCACACTTTGTGCTAATTGCGTCAACATACTTAAATACCGGAGAAACAAGCTCATAATCCTCGTGAGAGTAAATTTTCAAATCATAGATCCCTTGATTCATTATAATTCACTAACATCATAATGGACCTAATTAGTAGAACGATAAAGCTTAAGAAATTACAAAATGATTGCTTTAGGTCCGATAAATTCGCGTTGTGTATTTGAGCGATGGGACTTCGGATTATTGCAAAATTTTGCCTTTTAATTAAATTTTGCTATATTTTCTGTTACAAAGTTTGTAAAATATTGATTGCAGTTCAGGAACTCACCCTCAATAAAGAATCAAAATGCAGATGCGTCGTCACCCGTGAGGACTAAGATGGAATGCCTCTTTCAGTAAAAAGGGTCTCCGGTTGTCTACATTCACCATACGAAACACAGCAGTGTTAAGCTGCCATTTTACGCTGGTATTCCGTGAGAGCGTGGTCCTTCCCCGGTTGAGCCGACCAATTCGTGCTACAACTATATTACTAATATAGCTGCAGCTTGGCACTACCACTACCACTACCAACAATGATTCGCAATCAGTGACGTATTAACACTAGGGGCACTAGGGACTAGTGCCTAGTGTGGCAAAATTTTTAAGGACGGTAAAATTTGAAGTGTGAGCAAAATTTTTTTTAACTTTCTGCTATGAAAATCAATGATTTTCAAAAATTTTAAAGTTATTGGTTTGATGCCGATTTTTAAAAATCGAGCTCTCATTGGATCTACACGTTTCGAAGTCTAGTATACAGGACGTAATATTTTTTATTTTTTCAGTACATATTATTTTTTGATAATTAAATTCATTAAAATTTTACATTATACTTAATTTTATCTACAATATTAAAAACTATGATAGTAAAAAAAAATACTAAAACTAGAAACTTAATTATCATATAGTCCTACTCCCCGCGGTATCGTGCCAAGAACGCTGGCTGCGTTTCCCCGCTGAATGGCTATACTTAGCCTTTGAGCGAGGAAAGAACCAGCCCTCTTATCACCAGCAGCAACGACCAGCCGCGGATGGAGTTCCTTTAGGAACTTCACCGCACGTGGACCCCACGGACCGATAGTCTCTACAGCAAATGGCACAAATATGTAGTCATCTCTCAGGGACTCATATTTGCGCCACTTACTCAGTTCAGCTGCCTCTGATGCCGCCCCGGCTTTAAACGAGGTACCCCTGAGATGAGAGGCCGCCAGAGTGTCTACGCAAGTAGCATCCCACACTAGGGCTTTACCTCTCTCCCAAGGGACCAATGTCATACCGTCGGGTCTCTTGCCATCGTCTCTAAATATTCCACAACTTTTTTGAATAACTACATATAATGTCGAATCAGAATCAGATTTGCTACACAACATTTAGATTGTGAAGATCTAATAGATCAATTCAATTGCAAATCAAAAAGTCAGGCGTGTTTGCCTTTAAAAAGATGTACAGTAGGTACGAGGGTGGATTGAAAAGTACTCGGCCTAACACAGATCCATTCAATTCTAAAAATCAAATCTACCCACATTATTTAGTTCAGTTCAGACTAGTTCATTGTGTGAAGTTTGAAACGTGTGCGATAATTAGTTATGATTTTATAAATTTATTAACAAAGTAATCGGACATAATTTCCGCGAATGGAGCAAATCGAGCAGCGTGCCGTCATTAAGTACCTCCATAAGAAGGGGCTATCATCAAAAGCCATCCATGATGACATGGTCAGTACATTAGGCGATTGTGCTCTGTCATATTCATCCGTCAAAAAATGGATAGCAGAATTTAAGCGTGGTAGAGAGAGTGTGAAAGATGAACCCCGCTCTGGAAGGCCTTCGACGTCAACTACTGACGAAAATATTAAAAAAGTACTTGATTTAATAATGGGAGACCGCAGATTAAAAATTAGAGAGATAACCGAGATTATAGGCATCTCTTATGAACGAACTCAAAACATCATTGTCAACGAGTTGGGTTTCCACAAGGTGTCTGCGAGGTGGGTTCCGCGACTGCTTTCAGTTGAACAAAAAAGGACGCGATTGACTATTTCACGCGACTGTTTGGAGTTATTTGAAGCCGATGCAGATGATTTTTTGAATCGTTTTGTTACTATGGACGAAACATGGGTTCATTACTGTACACCGGAAACAAAACAACAATCAAAACAGTGGAGAAGACCTGGTTCACCACCCCCTAAAAAGGCTAAGTCGATTTTGTCGGCAAATAAGGTGATGGCTTCAGTATTCTGGGACTCGAAAGGTGTGATTATGATTGATTATCTTGAAAGGGGTCAGAATATAAACTCTGATTACTACTGCACCTTACTACGTCGTTTACGAGAGGAAATAAAAGAAAAACGTCGAGGAATGCTCAGAAGAAAAGTCCTGTTTCATCAAGATAACGCCCGTGTTCACACGTCAGTACAGTCAATGGTTGAAATTCACAATTTTGGCTTTGAACTGTTACCGCATCCGCCGTATTCACCTGATCTGGCACCATCAGACTTCTTTCTGTTCCCTAACCTAAAAAAGCACTTGGGAGGTCAAAGATTTTCGACAAACGACGAGGTCAAAGCAGCTGTAGACGCATATTTTGACTCTAAGGAAGAATCATTTTTTTTCAACGGTCTAAATGCTTGGAAGGGGAGGTGCCAAAAGTGTATTGAACTTGATGGTGATTATGTAGAAAAATAAAAATATAACTGATTTAGTATGTGTTTATTTTCTTGGTTAGGCCGAGTACTTTTCAATCCACCCTCGTAATTATGATCTTACATACCATAACAAATATTCTTAGTGTAAGTACTTGGTAATAATAAAAAACAATTCTACTATAAGCGACGTATTATATTTATTCAGAAATGATGCTCCGGTCCGTTACTCAATTAATGCAGGATATAGGTAATAGGCTAATAGGGCGGAATTTTCACGGTGCCTCAGGGCGGCACTTAAGGTAAATCCGGCCCTGCTCGCGATGATAATCTTCAAATATAAAAGAGGATGTCCTGAGTGGCTGACTCATCTATCAACGCTCAGCCCAAACAGCAAAACAGATTCTGTAATTTGGACAGTAGCTACCTTTTATGACGTAGGCATCCACTTGAAAAATTTTATCCCTAAGAGGGTGAAAAAGGGTTTTACAGTTTGTATGAAATGCGATTGACTCGAAACTTACTGAAAGTACTCAGTAAAAAGGTAATGATTATCTATTTTGGAATTTTTCAAAACAAACCCTTACGGGAGGCCAGATGGTGATCATATTTGTATGGAAAAATATAATTTAAGTAAATTTTAACTTGAAAATTGGTGTAAATACTTTTGAATTAATATTATAAAATATCCATTTTTATTTTTTCAAAATGTACCCTTAAGGTTCTAAAACGAGGGTGCGAAATTAGTGTGAAAAATATTGTATTAAAAATGGCGGCTCCATGGCGCAGTGGCTTAGCAACGAGTTGCTGCGCTGGGGGCCGCGAGTTCGAATCCCGCACGGAACAAGTATTTGTATGACCTACAAATAATTGTTCCGGGTCTGGATGTTTGTCCTTGCGTAATTTGTGTTTGTAAACTGCCTCCACGATACAGGAAAAAATCCTAGTGTGGGGGTAACTTTTTTTTTTAACTCACAACCCGAGCCGCTGGACATAGAAGTGTGGAATTGGGACAATGGGTTCCTTTTATTACGTAGGCGACCACGTAGAAAGGATTTTGGAAAATTTCTTCTCCTAAGCGAGTAAAATATGTTGTTACAGTTTGTACGAATGTATTTATGTGGCGATTGACTCGAAACTTACTAATAAAATAAAATAAAATGAATTTATTTCAGACTTTTGGTCCATAAGAGGGTTAGTACAAAATATAAACTAATACTGCAAATAAAAATTAGTAGGTACGTATTTTACGATTCTTCGAAATAACTCCCTACGGAGGCAGAGGATGTTCAAATTGAGACAATTGTTCCGGTATTCAATATATTATTTATTGTACAACAATATACATCGAAACAAAAACAAAATGAAATAAACAAGGAAGGTGCAATAGGTGATCTTAGCGCTCCGGAAGCAATTTCTTCCAGACAACCTCTTTAATACGCACGGAATTGTTCATAAGGAACGGCTCGGAGCAAGGTGACATAAAATGTACAAATATGTTAAAAATAAAATAAAAATGAAAACACAAAATGATGCCAGTAGAGGTAAGAAGAATAGATACAAGAAAGAGTGGGAAATATGTTGGAAAATGTTAGAATTGAAAGTAAGCTTTGAGTAGATTTTTGAAGGAAAAACGGATTGGCGTTAGACGTTGGACGCGGGGCAAAAGCTACAAATTTTATAAGTACCTAGATAAAATCGCCATTGATGCATCTAACGACTTTGTTGGATTTAACATCAAACAATAGCCAATACCTATCGTTTAAATTATATTATTGTTCGTCCTTATTTTTAGTATTTTATTTAATTTCAAGTAAAAATGTATATTTATGTTTTATTTTATACTAGGGATGCGCCCCGGTTTCTCACGGTTGATTTAATTCCATTCAGGGGGAACTCTATCTCACACACACAAAAGTTTCATCAAAATCGGTCCAGCCGTTCTCAATGATGTTTTTTCATACATACGACAATTGATATTTATTTATATAGATTAATAGTTAACTGTAAATAGCAAAGTCTAAATGTTAAATGTGCTATGTTTACGTATTAAGAAACAAGCCTGGAAAACGGCGTCAAGCGGCTGTAAATAATTAATTATTTATTTACCTTCGTCGCACCTACGGTTTAGCAGTAATACTTTGTAGTGTATACGCAATGAATCGAATTTACCGAAGACTTACCGAATTTAATTTACAAATCGTGCTGAAATGCGCCGCCACTCAATTTACTTCATCAACCGAGAACATTTTGCCTACAATTACTGTTCTCACAAACCAGATCTAAAAAATAAAAGTAAGTTGCCAAAGTTGTTCGCCTAAAAACAGCCCCAAAATATCACTTTATGTATTATAAGTGGTGAATACTCTTGACTGAAAGTAAAAACGAGTGATGAACACTCCTGATAGTTATTTAATATCCAAAATATTTTACTTTTAGGTTATATTCGTTTAAAAAGAATTAAAATTTTTATTTAAAAATAAATAAATTTTACCAATAATGATGGCCGATATCCATGCCTTATTTGTCTACTAACCAATCGTAACTTCATAGGTCTAGACCGTATAAAAATAGTTACTTATTAATTATTATAATATTATTGTAATAAGTTTTACTGGTGACACTATTGTGTAATACTCGTAAAAATATTAAATAATTATAAAACTATAAGCTAAATAAAAGAATAAATTTCGCTAGAAATAAATAAAACAATCGAATGTGATTGGATGTAAGATGGTGTGTTACCTCTTCCGTAGATCAAATAAAAATAATTAACAATCACATAACTTATCAATGATAAGATTTATAATTATGATAAGTTATCATAATTAAAAATGTAATAATGATATAAAATAATAGTATTCGAAATAATTTCTAATAATTATTAAAGAATAAACTGATTCTGACACAAAGCACTGTTTGTTTAAAATAAATAAAGTAAAGAATAAAGTCGTGATAAAACCGTCCGTTTGATTATAATAATTAATGTGTTAAGCATTAAAAACAATAATATTTATTGCATCGGTTTTTCATAAGTTTTGATCCATAGGCCATTTTGAACAAAGTAATTTACAAACGTGGTAATTGGAAAACACTGCTCAGTTTTTACCCTATGGTCATTTATCATATAATTGAGGTCTTCGACAAATACCCATGAAACCTTTCGTTTGGCTAGAATAGAGAGTTGGAGAGTAGCTCAATACAGGAAATCTTTACCTTATAGCCTTATACAAATATTCAACTAAATACCTAGAATTTTACCTTTTCGATACCGTTGCATAAAAAGACAAGTCATTTCACAAGATGGCGTCAACACTTAGAGTATTTTTTAAAAATTTTATAATGGTGCTTTATTATTAACAAAAGAAAACATGGATTTGCTTACGAAATATTTCAAACATAATTTAATCTCTCCACCAAATTCATGATGTCTTACAAACTGTAAATATATGACGTTGGCCAGCCTTTAGTACAACGTTTATTTAATCGATTTTTTTTAAATAAAATTGTATTGACAAACATGCTTTTAGTCCACCTGATGGTAAGTGACTACTACAGTCCACAATCCACAGACACCTGAAACCAACTTCAAAGTACGTATGCGTTGACTTAACCTAGACTACATAATATACGTTGTCACTTGTAAGGGTTAAGACGGGATGGTTCACAGTCTGTGATTATTCTGGCTCTTTTATATCCTTCAGACCGAAATACAGTAGCTCACGCATTTCTGCTTGGAGGCAGAAACAGGTAAGGTGGTGGAGAAATTGTATTATAATTATTGTCACTTAATATATTATAATGGTGATGGAAAGTATGACAAAAGCATAATATTATGCAACCTTATATACAGTACCGTATTATTATATTTTGAATATATATATTAGTATATTAAATATTTTGTTATTATGTATCAGTTTAGTTTATTTAGGTATTAGTATGTAAGTTTACTATAATATACACCACCTCCCAGTGTCCAATAGTACAATTTTCTCCTAATCTTAAGGTTGTCTGGAAGAGATCGGTTTTTAGCGATAAGACCGCCTTATTGTACCTATCTCTTAAGTTGTACTCCTTGTAATTTGTTTTTTTTTTATCGTTTTTGTGGTGTACAATAAAGTATAAATAATAATAATAAAGATTTCGTATATTGTGTGAAGTCATATGTGAAAGAAGTAACAGTAAGTATCTTTTTAGATATGGGGGTGTTCGAAAACAACATTGAACAAGAAGTTACAGTCGAGTCGGGCAAAGCTGCAATTTTGAATTTTCCGCACATAGAGTCAGAACCACCTCCTTCAGTCATATGGCAGGACGAAAACGGCGAAAATGGTGTATTAAGATATGATCAAAAATATGCCATCACTGATAAACATGAACTGGTGATTTTATGTGCTTCTAAGGATGATGTAAGGTCTTACAGGTAAGAATTGTGTTTCTGGTTTTTTGGCTAAGTTCGTACCAAGTTATTTAACCAGCATATATTTTATTAATATGTATTTCCTGCAGAGCTCGTGCCATAAACACTCAATTAGGAAAAGTAGAAAATAGCCCATATATAAAACTGAATGTTTATGGAGACGATAATAAAGAAATAGCACCAGAAATAATTATAAAACCGCAAGATACAAAGATTATTAAAGGTCAGGAGTATAGAAATATTTTTTGCATAGCTAACGCGAGGCCACTGCATGAATTAGAGACATTATGGTTTAAAGACGGTGTACTTATTGATTTAGCTGGAATCACGTACGATTTGAACGACCAATGGAATAGAACACTTAGTCTTATATCTGCCAACTTGACGCATACGGGGCAGTATACTTGTCAAGCTAGATTAAAAACTGGAGGGTTCGCGACTGTAACGGCTTCAGCTACAGTTACTGTATACGAAAAACCAACTATGTTATCTAATCTTAAGTCTGAAACCTATGGTGAATTTGGAAGCACTATAGTATTGGAATGCAACGTGGAAGGTATACCATTACCTAGTATCACATGGTATAAGGACGCCAAGAAGATTGCGAGCGTCGGTGCTGAGGCAGGAGAGGCTGACAATAGCGATGTGGATGACGGAGCAGGCAGGTATAGAGTGGAAGTCGACCGGTCGCTTATCATTAGCAATTTGAAAATGGAAGATATGGGAATATATCAATGCATCGCAAGTAACGAAGCTGGCGAGTCATCTATATACACTTGGTTGAAAATTAAAAGTAAGTATGTGTAAAATAATCATACATATATTAAGTTACTTATAAATATACCTAGAAGAATTTCGTTTACAACAAAAGCCACGATATATTTTATTTTATTTTATAGGAAACTCGTAAGGTTGACAAACGAGCACATAGTATTGTTAAATGGATGCCGTGATATTAACACGAGTTGTTAAATATACATTATTGTTACATTTTGGTTTCATAATCATCATCCACCGTTATTACAGCCCTTCATTCTGAACTCCACTGCTGAATATAAGCTTCCTCCAAGGAAGAGCAGGAAGACCCTGCTTTGTGGCACGGTCTTCCTGCATCTTTTCGAGCCACTGCAACTTACTGATCACTTGGGCTATGTTGATTACTCTGGTTTTACTAAGGATATCGTCATTATAAAATCTGTCACGCAGAGAAATTCCACATATAGCTCTCTCCGTGGTTCTCTGAGCGAAATTGAGTTTCCTCGGACAGTAGGGAAAAGAACTTAAAACATCTTGCAGTGCAGTGGTAACGGGTTTCGCGGATATAATGTCACCCTGTCTTACACCTCATTGCATTTGTAGATGGAGACTCTGATTTTGTACTCTGCTTCCGTACTCGAATAGCCATCGTAGCCCTACTGTACAAACACTTCAGTATTTCGATATAGCGACACTCGACGACACCGCCGATGGGACTGTTCGACCTATTTTCGACGGAATCAAAGGCTTTCTACACCGGACATACGCAAGACAAAGTAGTGGATTTTACTTTTCGGGCTTCTGTACAATATGCCGAAGTTCCGAAGTACTATAAACCGCATACATCCCGTATGGTCTTGTCCGTACCGTATGGTTCTTGGTCTTTTCGGAAACCGACTTGTTTAGGAGGCCGGAAGTCATCGAGAAGTTAGCGTGCGAGTCGATTTGTGACTCCAAAACAGCAAGTCGACGCTTATTCGACGTTCTTTAATAGAAGGCACTTTTGTTCCACGCCTCCGAAGTAATGCTACCATATAGATTGAAATATAGAGCTTCTTAAGGTATTTAAGGACCGGATTTCCACGCTCTTTCAGAAGTTTCACTATGATTTCATCTTCGCCCGAGGCCTTGCCTCGGCAAGCTTACCCAAACTGACGTTCAGGATATTTGCGAAATAGTGTCGGAAGTGACATACTCTTTGATCGTTACTCACACTTACGTGTGTTTGCAACGACTATGTGTACAGCTGTCTGTACAACCTCTCAATATCGCTCAAGCATTTTTGTTTACTGGAACAAAATATCAATTGAAACAGAATTATGATTCTCCAAGTCTGACTGTAAGATTCAAATTAGTTATATAATATTTTTTCAGGTTAGGCTTTTTCCTTTACTAATATATGCGCGACTTCCCCTTATTGTCGACTTTCCACGCATTCGAACCTCGTTTTTCGTTATGCGTACAGGAGCGGAATGATTTGCCAGCGTCTTTATTTCCATCCAATTACTATGTGGGGCTTTATCAACACTTACCACCGCACCGGGTAGAAGAAGTACTAGCTTATTAAGTTAAAAATATAACATGTAAATAATATTTACAATAATAAAAAGCTTAAAAAAATAATTATATTATAGCCCTTTTGCCAAATTCCCCAGAAGTTACGATACGGTACGTTATTTATTTCACTTTTATAGAAAATGTTATTGTAATAGGTAGTTAGTAACGTAGTAACATTCTCAATATATGCAAGTAAGTTTTGTAGCTTTTGAGAATTTAATTGATTATTAGGGACAAATAATTCATAATGAGCATTTAGGTTAATTCGTATTGTTATTTCGGAAGGTGTTATGTTAACATATTATGTTATATGAAAACAAGCAATAGAGTGCTACGCTAATAATGTGGGCAAAGTAGCTTTTTTACAATTTGTGAGAAAGTTTAGATACTCGTACTTATCTAATTTGCACTTGCAACTATCGCGCAGCGCGGGACAGTAACCGCACGCCACGCAGCCATATGAAGTTGATTAGAATGAGGACAGCGGACAAAAAGGCAAAGTCATTCCGATTTGATACTGGCAGTAAGGAAAATCATTTGATGTACTTTTGCACATTTTAATTGCAATTATGCTTTAAAAGCACAATTGTTTTAATTTCATTGTGTTTTTCTTTGTGATTAGCATACACTGAAATATTTTAAGTTGTCGATTGTTATGTTTTGCTTTGAATTTAGTTTACAAAAAAAGTTATTTACACTCAGTAAGTATTTGTTAATAACTTTGAAATAGTTTAAATTGCAACGTTTTACTTTTTCACCTTTTTAGCATGATTAACGACACTGGTGTTATATTTTCACACTAGGTGGTAAGGGATTAATTTTATTGTATGATTTTTTATGATAATAATATAAGTTAAATAATAATAATATGTTGTATCTTATTCAGTAAATTTTTACTTTTATTGGATGCACGAACAAGCATTGTGTTAATTTTGATTTACATAATACTAGTTCATTTTTATAATAAAAGTAAATTCTTTTCTTCATTTAATATTATTTTTAATATCAGTTTCAAAATATTAATTCTAAAATACAAAGCAAGCTTCAAATGTAGTAAACCACCAGTTAAAGTACCAGTTTCTACGTGGTAGAGCCATGCTGCAGCTATATTATGGTTGTAGCACGAATGGGTCGGCTCGAACGGGGAAGGACCACGCTCTCACAGAAAACCAGCGTAAAATAGCAGCTTAACGCTGCTGTGTTTCGTATGGTGAGTGTAGAGAACCGGAGACCCTTTTTACTGGCAAAGAGGCATTCCATCTTAGTCCTCACGGGTGACAACGCATCTGCATCTTGAGTCTTTATTGAGGATAGATGTAGATGTCTATGGGTCACAGTAACCACTTACCATCAGGTGGACTGTGTGCTCGTTTGTCACCCGATCCTATAAAAAAAAAACCACACAACAAATGTATTCTAGTATAAAATGTAAATAGTTCAGTACAACGGTTAAACAGCCATTATTAAAAACGGCTTTAAATCATTCAAAAATTCTTAATATGTTTGTGGTAAAACTTAATATTTCAGTATTCTATATAATTGTGCTGTATGTCTTTTTAAATCTTTTATTTCGTATTAAGGGTAAGAATAAAATTATTGACATTGCGTACAAGATGTGTTGTCTTAGCCCCAGGGATGTACTGAAAAATTTATTAGTTCGCTCCTAAACTACAACATGGTAAGATTTGAAGGACACCTGCGGAACTTAAGAGCCCCTAAACAAACCCTCTTCAATTTACGACTTGCTCAATTTACCGTCTTCTTTTGTTTCATTGAGAATTCCAATGTACTTATTAAAAGTGTTCCATATATTTAATTAAAAATCCTAACTCATGTTCACGATCTTTCCCGCTATTTATTTCCTTAGCCTGGGATATATTTGATCAAATTTGAATTTTTACGATGCTGAAACGAGAAACAAAAGAGATCGTTTTTATTTTCAGAGAATTTTATTTTGCTTTAAGCTTATAGGTATATTAGTATATAAATTTTAATGCTTGCACTCCGTAACTTCTTTTTAATGAATGGCATGTTAAATAAAATCCTCTAATTTTTAACTTAACTGCTATGAAATCAAAACTCTTTTGAGATGGTATTACAGAGTGTAAAAGAATCTCACCCATTTTCTTTAATTCAATTCACATTGAACTACGATTGAGAATTCATACTGATGTTTGAATACGTCTCAATAACCACTGCAGTAGTATCACTCGTAATTTAATTAACCTATTTCTCTTCTTTCCTGTATATTCCCTGACATTTGCAGATAGATACTAAATGTAGTGTTTTTTATTCAATACCATTGAGTTATATATAAATCGTGTAAGTGGCATTATATTTAGATTTCATATATACCTCCCGAAGACGTTTTTTACATCTCTGGTTCGTCGAAATCTTACTTTTGTAAAATTTTACTAAGCTTGCAGAATGGATCTGTAATTTTATATACATTTATTTACATAACATTGAAACATATACAATATTAAAAAAAAAACTGTTATTACTGTCGATAATAATAAGTGCAATCAAAGAAGCGAGAAAGGTCGTGGGTTCGAAGCCGCCATTCGACTACTGTCGTGAACCACTTCTAACACAAGCATTTTAAGCTTACCAGAAGTGTTTAAAGGGAATATTAGTAATGTTTAATAGCATTACTAGTATTTTTTTAAAAAAAGAAAAGAAAGACGTAGCTATCCATTTGAGCGATGTATTTGTTGTTATAGATAATTATTTACACGTAAGTTTTTATAATTAAAATAATTCTGTTTTTGTGCATGCATATTTAGTGTTTTGAGGTCACGGTAATCACGTTTGAAAACTAATTTAGGCGATAGTGTCAAAAGACGTTAGTGTTTTAGTGCATAGAGTAGCGCTCGAGTTAATAGCAATGTGTGGCTTGTAGCGTCCCCGCCAGTAATGCAGAGCGCCCCATCGAACCTCACTGTGCTGGACGGAAAAGACGCCACCATCACCTGCCGAGCTATCGGCGCGCCCACTCCAAACGTCACCTGGTACTTCAACGGTAAGTTAATATGGCGCTTAGTTGTCTGTTGAATTATTTATAGGTTGGAGAGTTGCCTTCATAATATACTTGTTATAGTCTAATGTAATATAAATCAATTCGTTGTGGGTATATAAAATCGACGCACTGTAAAGTAAGCACATAAGACATAAAAAAAATATTAGAATACAATTTAATATTTTATAGTTTAGTTAATACTTTTTATACAGAGAGGGGTTACATTATTGACTAGGTGCGTTAACAGCCTGTAAAAAACTTTTTAGCTGTTACTGACACGTTGTATTAGCTTTATTTGTATTTATGCCCGCATGTGTTATGTACATATGTAATTTGTTTATTACCCGTGTGGTGGCGTCGTAAGAGAATCCATCACCTCATTACGTCCCGTAGGTATCGTAAGAGGCCACTGTGGGAAAGGTCAGATAGATTTAAAGACATCTTACTGCCGATAGATGGTGGTACACGAGTTGGTGTTTCAACGACCTTTAAACTGTCACCCCACATATGATCACAAAAAAATTTTTTTCACCCTAAACTAACCCCCAAGTCAGAAATTCAAATTTTAACCTCCCATCGTTAACAGATAAACATAGACACAGGCGATTTCATACCTACGTTGCCTACTATTTATAAAATAAAATTTTATTCTGTGAAATTAAATTCCCTGATAAATATCAAACATTTGGTAAATAACTTGGAAAATTAATATGTTTTACGTATTGTTGTTAGACAATCTAAAAAATAAAAGTTACAGCAGTTTTCGATTTCTTTAATCGTTTCTTTTGAAAAGGATGATTAAATTTTAACGTTTTTTAATTGATAAATTCGACAGTCTGCCTAGGTGACATCTTCCCGCAAATCCATAAGTTGTCAGCAAAATATGGAAAAATTACTTGTTTCCATTGGACGGTTACCGGTAAGCTGCCATTTGAATAAATTGATTTAAAAGAAGGTGAGGCAAATACGCTCGCAGAATGAAGGTGTTAGTCGCAATTTAAAAAATGGGAAATGGCTTCATTGATGTGTGATTTACGAAGTAGGGAAAAATCTTCAAATTATTTTAGAAGAAATTGGGAAAACCTTCAAGAAAATCGAATCGATTACAGGGCTGATTGACTTGTCGACACAAGCACTGCGGAAAATGTGAAATAAATTGAAAAATTAATGTTGGATATAGAAACGTTTTGAAAACAAAGACCATACCAAAGGATGTTAAATACTCTTGACTCATTTGTTTAAACCGGCATCTGACAAGTTATAAATCATCGTACAGTCTAGACATTTACTGATAGATTTGAAAATGGAACACTTTCATTATTTTCATTTGCTAAATGCTTTTCTCGTGAGAATCTGGCTTCTGGAATAGCTCGCAGCAATAGAGTTCAGTTTGGTTCAGACGACGTGATTTTCACGCCATGAACTTACTACGATTATGAAAAAGTTTCGAGTATTACGAATGTTTTGAATTTTTTTTATGGAGTTGGAGTGCCAAACAAAATCACAGTCCACCTTATGGTAATTGCAGTCCATAGACACATGCAGCCAACTTCAAACAAAGAAGACTAAAGATGCTTTGTCAGTCTTAGAATGCCTCACAGTCACATGTACTTATACTGACTCTCAATAACCTCCAGCCCGGAACCCAGCAGTAGATACTCGAAGCACGCACTACTTCTTGACTTTAGAAATAAATAAGAGGTTAGTACCTACCTACACGGATTCCTAGGCCTTAAAAAAGAATTCTACCACCTATTCTTAGAATCTTTTAAAATTTAAGTTATATTACTTTTGCTTGTTAACGAGCAAAATTTGTAAGAATCAAAACAGGGCGTGTAAGTATTGAAGATTAAACGAACCAGTTTGTTCTCCAACCGTGGACACTCAAGAAATGTTCGAGCAGTCGAAACTTATTCGAGATAAAAGACGAATTCCTACAATTACAACGAAATGTAATCTTCCACGAAGCATACAGATATAAAATTGGTGGTGAAGTATCAAAGATCGGTTAACTTGCAGTGACATGTGACAGTTTGTGACTTAAAATTATGATTAGCTTGGTTTGACAAGCAACGATTCAGAAATCCAGTACCTTTTTTGGCAATATAACAACACAGCACCCACCACACAGGTCTGCCGGAACAGCGTAAGAGAATCCATAACCCCTGTTCATATGTGTTTTAAGAGGCGACAGAGGGCAACTAAATCAGGAGATTGGCAGCAGCATCTTCTTGATAACAACTCAATCATATTAAAAAAAAAACTGTTGTTGTTATCCCAATGCATTATTCCTCCTATAAGGCAACCTATGGGGGAGATGGTGGATATTGATGGGCTGAATATACGAATTCATGAATTCCCTTCCATAGAAGCAAAAAAGACGCGTCGTACGCTTATAATTTCTGGATTTTGAAGGTGTCTAAAGAAAAGTGGTCAAAGGTATTTTTCAAGTGGTTTAGACTTATAAAAAAGTATATTTGTTATTATTTATTAACAGTTAGTCAATGTTTTGTAAACTTGTACAAAAGGCGAATGCTAACAGCATTCTCTTCCAGTCAGCCTTAATGTGCTTAAAGTAGGTAATTAATGTTAAAAAAACAATAAATTGAAAGTGAATACTTTTAATAGAATAAATAATATAATTTTGTGTACTTACTTTCTTTTGGCAAGGCCTTCGTTTTCTGCATGATCATGATATCTCAAAAATGTAACGTAATGGAAGCAGCGACGCGTAGCGTGACCGAGATGTTTCAGATTCTTCCTAGTGCTTGTGTTTATCATTATGAGCCTGAGTCTAAGCAACACTTGATGCAATGGCACAAAAAAGGCACATCGCCCGCAAGTAAGGTGTTCCAGTGGGTCGGAAAACTAATGACCAGTTTTTTGGTTTCAAAAGGGATTTTTTTGATTTATTACAAAGAAAAAAGATATCTGTATAACGATCTTTCGTATATTCGATACTACGCTGGAATAATAATTGAAAGATCTGACGCTGTGAGGAGGGAAAAAGCGAGGAGAATTGAGCGATGGAGTGCTGCTTCTGTACAACAACGCGCCTGTACACAAGGCACATGTTGCGAATACCTGCTGTATACACAAATAATGGGCTTTGAAATTTTGAAACGTCCGCTCTATAGCACAGATTTAGAAAGAATACAAATTATTATTAGAACTTAAATGATGATACCAGCAAAAAACTAAAATATGCGGTTAACGATGAGGCCAAAAGCTCGTATACTGCCTATTGTGAGAAACATGTTATTAACGCATCTGAAAAGTTGTTAAAGTTCCAAAGGGAATACCTTTGTTGAATAGGAAGAATGAATATAATAGTTCATCGGCTCCATTTCGCGCACTTGTTTGCCTTTCATCATATCGTCAAATCAATCATATAACAAACACAATCAATACGTATATCGCACATTCTTATAGCATCCATGTGAAAACTCGATGTACATCATTTTTATTCTGATTAGATGTATATCAGGCCTGATGAGAATCTGTTACTTCAAGCATATATGTATAAGTATATTAATTGTTTTTCATTTAACTTACTCCAACTTCTTTTACTTGAACGTTATCCACACGCAAATTACTCGCTTAGACGTGGAGTTGCGGAAAATAGCCCGTCGTAATCTAATCCACTCGTACGTTTAGTAGAAAATAATAGCATCTGCTTTACTGCATCCTGATGGTGTAATATTCCTACTTTCGGTGTTTCGGTGCTTTGTTTTATTTTGTGTTTAACAATTAATCGTCCATTTTCAGATTCACTAATAATAAAGCTGTCTGGCAGGCTGCAAGCCTTGGATGAAGGAGATCTGCTAATTACTAGTACGACTACTGCCGATAGCGGGAAGTACACCTGCATCCGCGCGAATGATGCAGGAAATGTTTCTGGAGAAGCTTACCTTACTGTACTCGGTATTATAATTTCCATTTACCTATGCCATAATTCTTTAGCATTTACCTCAAACTTTTACTAAAATTTATGTTTATTAAAAAGCGTTACAAACACATGGCTTAAAAATATTACGTGATCACTGCGACTTACCTCGGGAGATGATAAAGTATTTTTTGATTTTTTTGTTAAAGAACACTAAACAATCTTAAGGAAGGCTTGTTATTCACCATACAAAATACAGAGGATTTTCATTCAACGTTTTCTTCTATTTAAATTTGAAGGTGGTTGAATGGGAGCATTTTAGTGGGTTGCACATTAACTTACGTAGGCTTTTGTAAAAATGCGCCAGCAATCTAGTAATACTACTCTCCACTGTTTTCTCTGTTTTCATACATTTTTATATTAGTCTATAGTCCCTAGAGCCTCGTTCTGAGGATGATATTTGAAGAAAAGTGCATAGTGCACAGTGTTACTTAATATATTTTTTAGGTGTTTAATTACTAATTTTTGTTTTAAACACTGAATATCAGAATATCCAATGCATGGATTGATATTTAACAAGTAGTTTTAGATAGATTAACCAACCTGAAAGAATCGATAGCGCCTGTATAATATCCAATTCCATTATGTTATTGGCATCTACAACTTGCCCTTGGATTAAATGGCGCGGTTAGAAATAAACTATAGGATTAGAGTCCAATATATTACAATACTTTAACAGCTAGTCATTTTCAATATCTAGTATTTCAAATGGTAAACCCTGTTACATAAAACGTTATAAGATATAATTTAAAATTAAAAATTTTGTACAGCCGACTTCAATATAAGTTATTTAAGAATAACTTAAAAACTATTGGTCTGACCTTGATCAAATTCATATGGGACCACACGAGAAGTACCAGCTTTCAAATAAAAAAAGAATCATCGAAATCGGTTCACCCAGAAAAAAGTTCTGAGGTAACACACATAAAAAAAAAAAAACGAAAAAAAAAAAACATACAGTCGAATTGAGTACCGGCTCCTTTTTGGAAGTCGGCAGATTAACAAGTAGTTACTTGACAATCTATTAATTTTACGTAAAAAAGTCTGATTACCTTGTTCTTAAACACTGATAGTTTAGTTTTGTTGATGATTTTCGTTAAAGTTAGAAGATGTTAAAAATCGATTTTGCTTCAAACCATTAAGAGATAGAGATCTTATATTGAAGTATGAGGACCTTTTTGGAGTAATATTGCAAACAAAAAACTTTAGTTCACTCGAAGAACCGACAACCGGTGGTTAAGCAAGGCTATCGGCCACCCACTAGATGGAGTGACGACATGGTAAGACATGCAGGAAGTCGATGGATGTAGGTGGCTCAGGACCGTGCTTTTTGGCAGTCCTTAGGGAAGGCCCATGTTCAGCAGTGGACTTGTGAAGGGCTGTAATGATGATGATGATGAATAGAATTAAATAACTTTCACATGATTGCTTTTGAAGTCGCAAGGAAGTTCAGAATCTGTTCTTCACAAACGGTTCAGAATCTGAATCTTTTTTAATGCTTTAAAGACTAACCTTTTTTTTCATATTATATTGCGTTTTTGGGCTTTAACTTTTTATTAGTCGTAAACTTTTTTACCTTTTTGAGTGAACCAAGGAATATCACAAGGTGAAGGTAATATTATTTATACTATGTCGTGAAATTTTTTTATGTTTGTCCGCAGTGAGGACTCAGATAATTGCACCGCCAGTTGACACCCGTGTGCTGTTGGGTCACACGGCGACTTTACAATGCAAAGTATCCAACGACCCTAACGTGAAATACAATATCGACTGGTTCCATAACAAACAGTATGTAACTATACTTTTTCTTTTATTATATTATTTTTAGTTAAAAAACATTATATTGATATTCTACTAGCAAATTTCGATCGCAGGAGTAAGATATCAATGCTCAAGTGATATATATATAGGAAATAACCTCTTAACCCTCTTTCACGCCTACATTGATAAACTCAAAGTATAGTATGATATGTAATAAAACATGTAATGCTCTATGATATTTAAAGTTAAAGCTACAGCATATTATATACGTCCCACAGCTGGGAACAGGCCTCCTCTCATTTATGAGAGGGTTTCAGGGCAAGAAAATGGCCGCCGCGCTGCCCCAATGTCTGTTGGCGTACGTCACATGTCTTCGAAATATCTTTTTTCTTATTTCTCAGATATACCGGTTTCCTCACGATGTTTTCCTTCACCTCGGCGGAGATAATATAGCACTTAAAATTGCAATTAACAATTTCATTGGTACCGGTGGTGATCGACCCCGGGTTGCTCGCGTTTACAGCGAGATCTTAGCCACTGAGCTCCACGGCTCTTTATGGTATTTATGCTAATACTATTGAATTAAATTTATTTTTCGGAGTTTCTTGTGTTTAATTTTATGTTGTATCCCCGTGATCATGTGTTCTAAAGCACTCTAAACGTTACGTCACATAACTTAAAAATTAAACGCGATGAAACATATAAAATTAGTTTTATTCAATAATCGTGTTTTACCAATAATAAACACACTTGGTACACCCACACCAACACATGGATTGGTTATTGTTTCAACGCGGAAGTCGACCCTCTGCCGCAGTGAAACCGCAAGTTTCCGTACGCTGCGCGCCGTGCAATAAAATGTTGTTATAGCATTATCACATTTCACGCTAATAATGATCTTGATTAATTAGACTTGTTTTAAAGTTAAATATAAAAACATATATATTGCTCAAATAAATACATTTAATTTTTATCGTGTTATTTTTGCATCGAACTTACCAATAAATTAACAAACAAGAACTAAATTTGTAACATAACGTAAGACGCTGTAAATATATAAATATGCTGTAATATTTACTTAATACAAACTTCAAAAAGTAATTAAGTTAGAGCCACCTCAATTTTCAAAGATTGTTCTTTAAGAAAAGAGTTCTTACTTAAAGAAGTATAGCAAGTAATTATTTTTAAGACAATCGAGCACACATTCCACTTGATGGTAAGTCGATGCTATGGACTATATATATATAATATAATATATATACGTGATAAGCAATAGTGGACCCATTCCTACTACGTAAAGATATATCTGGGTCGCTATAGCAGGTTCTCTAGACTCGCCGTACGAAACACAGTAGCATTATACTGCTTATTTACCATTTCACATCTTTTATATTATATGCATTTGAATTTGAATCTCAGAAACAGATGTAGTCTATTGCCTTGGTATAAATTAGAATAGAAGCAGAATTATCGCACTTTGTTTACGTATCTCGCATTTAACATTATAATACAAAAATAGCTACCATTGACGGTTTGACTTGAAATGATTCAAAACTAACCACAGCGAAGGCGCGCAAACAAGATTTTGATTATAATTTTTTTTAACTTTGTCCGGGTGTCTGATATGAAATTTCTGTTCAAAGCCAAAGAAGCAATAAAACTGAATGTAACATTACAAAACATTTGTTAGAAGTCTTTACTTCTGTTAGTGGCAAGAAATCTTTGCTTATACATATCGAGATTCCTCGTCGTCTTATAAACAGGCTAAAATTGATGTGGTAGTTAGTGTGAAATCACTGTCTTACTACACTTACATAGATAAGAACTTCTTTGATCAAGTCACACTCGCGACAACTGACTTAGGGGAGAGAGCCCAATTCAAATATTCTCCCAAAAAGTAGGGAAATTCAAAGTCATGGTTCTCCTGCATACAAATGGAATTTAATTACTTAAACTATTTATTTTTTACATAAGCTTGAGTTTAAGGCACCTTAATTAGCATTTTACTCTAATCAAATTCAATCAAGGGTAACATATTAAATGTTAATTATAAAATATGTCAAACGAAACAAATAATTTATTAACAAAAAATATATTTACGAACATTTATATAAAAGTTTGTGACTTTCCATTCTATCCAGTTGAAATCGACCTTATAGTATGTACATTAAGACAATTTATGCTAGAATGTACATTAAAAAAATATATACGAACACCCAAACGCAAATCGTAAATTTTTCAGAAAAAACACCCCGTTTTTATTTTAAGACTTATAGGAAGTTAAAATTATTGTCTGATTACAACCATTATCTATCGTTCTGCTCTTGTAATAATTTGTCTCACTACATTAAGACGAGGACTTTAACAAATATTACTCTGTGGCATTAATTTGGTATATTTTTAGATTGACTTCCTTGCAACATTGAAAAAATGGTGTCGTTAAATTATTAAAAAATTAAAATTATTACGATTATTACTTAGAATTTGAGTCTAATTTTTGGCCAAGAACTGTACGATATTATTATCTTCATTTTAGACCTCATTTATTAATCTAAACATTATACACCATCTTCTTATAAAAATAAAATATATCACCCATATCTTATAAAAAAGAATTGTACCCTGACGCAACAAGCAGTTTGTTACTACAAAAATTATATTGAAATTAATAAACGTTCTTAATTGGGTTCTTACTTACACAATTATATACACAATTTCATCGTTATCTTTGATTTTGTACAAGAAAACAGAAATGAAATGGTACTGAATAATAGTTTAATCAATTGCAATTATGATCGACAATTAATTCATCAAAAAAATAATTCTTTTACTTTTTTTTAATTGACTTTCCGTTATTAATCCGTCCAATACTCGTACTTTGAATTTAAAAGAGGTACGTCAAACTATTAAAAATTACCTGAGAGTTTTACTGTGATTGCCGCCTCTAATTCTTATTACGCCTGCAAAGAAATCTTAATAGGTAAATTTCGGTGCAACATGACAGCGTTGCCAACACCAATTTGTCAAATTCTCCGAAAATCCATGTCAAATTCCCCAATTTAAGGACAAAATTTCTCTATAAATTCACCTCAATTTTATTTTAGGAATTAAATAATTTTCAACTAATTTTATAACATTTATTTTTTAAGTAAAATTTTTTTTCTTTCTTACCGAAATTTTTTTTTTCATACTCCATATTTTTGTAACAAGCATTTTAGTTCATGGAGTATTTTTAATTCCTTCCCTTGTTACCTTTAAAAAGTACCACAGTATCTGCATTTATACGCAAATGGAAAGCATATACACAAAAGTTGCCGAAATAAATCCGAAAATTAAATGTGGTGCAATGAAGATAATTAAAAAAAGGGAGCATTCGATATTCATAAGTAACCTAACAAAAATGTTAAGATAAGTATTTAGATGTCATGAAAAAAGGTTCCGCCCTAGCCCGGGCTATCGATTTTTCAAATCCCGTTTTCCCCGCATAATACCAATACCCATAAAATCCCCAACCAACTTTAAATTCCGCGCAATTTGGGGAATTCCCCACATGTTGGCAACGTTGAAATGTATGCGCTGGGCGGCGGCAGGAGGTGTGTTAAAGTGAAGGGTGGAGTGAGTAGTAATATCTAATGCATTGTTTCGTCAGTTACGTACCGAGCTACATAAAAGAATTCGGCATCCGCATGAATATTGACCTTAGTCAGCTGATTTAAATTACACTGCTGGTTATATTTATATTTGAGTATTTTCATGATATTTTTTATGAAATTATAGTTTAATAAAGCTAATAAAACGTTGTGAAAAGATAATTTTTTTTCCTTGGGATAGATTTGCTTTCTCACCCATCATCAAAGGTAACCCAGAACCTTAGGGATGGAATGGTAAGTGCAGCGGAAGAAGTGTGTGGAACAATAAAAAGAGGCAGTAGTAAAAGAAGAGATGCATGGTGGAATGATGAAGTGAAAGAAGCTGTAAAGAAGAAGAAGAAAGCATGGTTAGACTACTTGGCCTCTAGTAATGATAAGGATATGAAAGAGAAGATGAAAGAAAGATATAGGCTGCAGAAAGTTCACACGAAAGCACTGATTGAGGAAGTGCGTGAAAGGTGTAGAATGGAAGCGGACGAAAGGTTGTCGCACAACTTTAAGGAGAACTCCAAACTCTTCTGGAAAGAGGTTGGAAGGACCCGAAGTGGTGCGACGGCCTTAAGAATGAACAAAGTGCTTTCGAGAACTAATGACGTCCTCTCAGAAAAATCGGACGTCATGCAGCGATGGAGCGAATTTTATAGAGAAATGTATGCGTGTGATGACCTTAGTGAGGGATCCGGGGATGACGCCGTGACTGCTACGCCAGACCCGGACCTCGATGACACTGAGGTCATCAGTATGAAAGAGATTGAACGTGCGATTCGAAGTTTGAAATGTGGTAAGGCTGCGGGACTAGACAGAGTTACTGCTGAAATGGTCAAGTATGGTGGGCCTCGCGTCTGGGACAGCTTTCATCTGCTGTGCAATTTGTGCTGGCGGACGGGGGATGTCCCGGATGATTGGCGATCCGCAGTCATTGTGCCTTTATATAAAGGTAAAGGTTCACATTTTGACTGCGGGTGCTATCGGGCGATCAGCTTGACCAGTTTAGCAAGTAAAGTTTACTCGAAGGTTTTGACACGTAGGATGCAAGAGAAATCGGAAAGATTTCTATGGGAGGCACAATGCGGATTTAGACCTGGAAGAGGATGCACGGATCAAATGTTTTCTCTCCGCATGATCACGGAGAAGCTTCTGGCTGCTAACCAGAAGATTTTCTGTGCTTTTGTGGATCTTGAGAAAGCATTTGATAAGGTTGTAAGGAAGAAAATGTGGGAACTGTTGCCGGGGTATGGTGTGGATGGTCGATTGCTAAGGGCTGTACAGTCTCTTTACTGTGACTGTAAAGCCTGTGTGCGGGTAGGACACGACCTGTCACCCATGTTTAACGTCCAAACGGGCGTAAAGCAGGGTTGTGTCATGTCTTCCTGGCTGTTCATACTGTATCTCGACAGCTGTTTACAGAAGCTGAAAGATAGCTGTTTGGGTGTGAAATTGGGTGACATTAAAGTAAATTGTCTGTTGTATGCTGATGATGCAGTGCTTATAGCACCATCAGAGGCAGAACTGCAGGCATTAGTCACGTGTATGAAAGAGGAATGTGAAACTAAAGGTCTCCGTTTGAATGCTAATAAAACCTAAGGTTCTGGTATTTGAAAGGGACGAAGAGAGAACGAAGTGTGAAATATGGGTAAATCAGGAATGTCTAGAACAGGTAAATGAAATTGTATACTTGGGGAGTGCTTTTAGCCGGGATGGAAGATGTGATTTAGATGTGGACAGGCGTGTCGCTGCCGGGAACAAAGTCAATGGTGCCCTGACTGCGTTAGTCAAAAGGCAAGGCGTAGCGAAGAGTGCACGCCTTGCAATACATAACGCAGTGTTGGTACCGACTTTGTTATATGGCAGCGAAACCTGGGTATGCCAGAAGAAGCATAAAAGTAAGTTGAATGCAGTGGAGATGCGATCTCTTCGTAAAATGTGCGGCGTTACCATGGCCGACCGAAAGCGAAACGAAGAGATTCGCAATATGGCAGGTTTGAAAGATGACCTTATCACAAAAATTGATAAGGGCGTGCTTCGGTGGTTTGGGCACGTTGAGCGAATGAGTGAAGACCGAATGGTGAAGAAAATATATAGCGCGAAAGTTAATATTAAAAGGTGTCGAGGTAGACCGAGACTAACTTTCGAAGACCATGTGAGCAAATTGCTCGAAGAGGGTAGGGTCAAAAGTACTCGGATACCTAGACGTGCATGCATGAAGAAGATAATGAATCTGAAAGAAGCGAAAGAGGTTTGTAAGGATCGTGACACTTGGCGATCTGTTCTCTCTGGCTACCCCGTCAGGGATTGTGTGTGAAGATAAGTAAGTAAGTAAGTATCAAAGGTATCGTTAGTACTATCGTCTGTTTTGGTTTTCGGGAGCGTTTCACCAATTCCCGGTATAATTAAAGCAAGAAACCAATGGTAGACTATGTCATGAAATACTGCTTCATCTGAACAAGTCTGCCACGTACTCGTTTTAAATTAGTACATTCTTCCTGAACAGTACACCGGCCGAAAATGGTGGTTACCCTACATTACCATAAAAACCCTTTTAGTTAGGATACGGGACGCCACAAAGAAACAAACAAACATACATTTACACAATTTTACATATTTAGTCTTGAAAACATAACCTTATGTATGTGGTGTGAAAGTAACAGTTGAAAACTAGAAATGGTATCGCTATGGTGTGTGATGACTGATGACTGATGACTGATGACACAGGCCGATGACGGCGGGCTCGCGCGTGTGGATAACGGGCGAGGGCGCGCTGCAAGTGCAGGCGGTGCGCGCCAGCGACGCGGGCGAGTACACGTGCGTGGTGACGTCGGCCGGCGGCAACCACACGCGGCGCGCGCTGCTGTCCGTCATCGAGCTGCCGTTCGCGCCCACCAACGTGCGCGCCGCGCGCCTGCACGCCACGCAGCGCGCCGTCAACGTGTCCTGGACGCCCGGCTTCGACGGCAACTCGCCCGTGCACAAGTTCATCGTGCAGCGCCGCGTAGTGCCCGAGTTCGGTCAGATTATTTTCTCTTATTGCCTCATCAAGTGTTTTGTTACGGGAACTGGGTTAGCCATCGGCCTTACTTCATTATTACTTTATAAGTAAAAAGGTTAGAATAAGGTTACAGTTTTTTAACGCCCCACCGCTGGGCATAGGCCTCTGTACTTGCTTGGGTATTTTTTGAGAGGGATATTAGATTTGTCGCCGTACTGTTCTATTACTTAATGGTGGACTTCACAAGATGTCTTCGAAACATATTATTCATTAATATACAGCTTTACTTATTTTTATATTTTTATTTTTACCTTCAACTCCGAGCACTTAGTAAAACTGCACGTATGATTGGAGTTAATAATTTTATTAGTGTCAGTGGGATCGAATCCACGTTGCTCGTTAACCTCCCTTCATACATATATAATATATGTATGATCCGAGCACGTAGTGAAACTGCACTTATAATTGCAATTAATAATTTTATTAGTGCCGGAGGGGATTAAATCTAGGTTGCTCGCGAACCTCCCTTCATACATATATTATATCTTGTAATAAGTGTATGTATTGTAAATTAGACTAGACTGCAACTAGATTAAACTGCGAAAATGTTATAAATCTAATGTTTACATCTGCTGTATTGTAATTTATCAACTTTTAGTATTGTACTTAACAAAAAAATATCTGTTATAAATCTGCCTACATTTTGAAAATTGAGAATATTTTTAATTTTCCAAATTTTCGCAACACTTGCAAGTTATGATAAAAATCTTTAATAGTGCCGTTACAGTTACCGTTACAGCCTATTACAGTCCACTGCTGAACATAGGCCTCCGAAAAACCATTATATTGATACCAAAAGATTGTCTCACAGGGGTGATATTTGATATAGTATCCACGCTTGGCAGGCGGGTTGGCAACCGCAATTTTTATTTTTAGTTGCTATTAGGAAGACGCTGCTGCCCGTCTCATGATTTGTTTCCCTCAGTCGCCTCTTACAACACCCACGGGATGATATGGGGTAGTGGATATTCTTACACCACCTCGACACGGTAATAAGTTACACCGCCCCTATATACAGTATACACCGCCACTACACGGTTAATAGTACACATCAAAATAAAACTGGTGACAGATTAAAAAAAATCCTATGTTACTCTTATTTTTAGGTCCCACACCAGACCCATTGCTTAACTGGGTGACGGAGCCGTTGAATGTGTCGGCAAATCAACGTTGGGTTCTACTGACGAGTTTAAAAGCGGCCACCTCTTATCAATTTCGTGTGTCTGCGGTAAACTCTGTTGGTGAGGGCACACCTTCGGATCCTACGGACGTGTTGACTTTGCCACAAGAAGGTATGATTAGCCCTTATCCACCTACTAAAATTCCTCCTACAAAGTAAAAACTAAACGAATGGTCAAATTCATTTAATTCAATGATTATTTTGTGTCAGTGCAATCTTAAGTGATACTTTTTTTCTCATTTACGCGTCTTCTCTTCTTTTAAAACATTTTATACATTTGCACCGTCATAAACATAAACATTCTGAAAATAAATTCGTTGTTATCATGCAGCCAGTGACTTGATATGCTGCCAAGGTATGCGACGTTTGAAAACCAAATTTTAATTAAATTGTCTTTATAAGCTTTGATGACATTAATTTGTCTTATGCTCATTTTTCGGCTGCATCTTTAATATTGTGACGTCTTTTATGCATGTGAAGCTTACGTTTTGACATGTTCTTCTTTCAGTTATAAGTACATTTACTGATTCATCTTATTTTTAATACATTAACTAATCTGTACGCAACCCTTGCATGTATGTAATTAGATGAAAATTTTATTTTGATTAGGGTTAACTTTAAGAATACTAATTTATTGTATTACTGTGTTTGTTCTAAAACAACTTGCGTATGGAAACTTGGCTATGTAATTTATTAGACAACATTATGTTACACAACAATTAATAATGCCCATTAAACCTCAAAATCAGATTAATAATAAATAAATGATAATTAATAATTTTACAGCTCCTTCCGGCCCACCTCTGGGTTTTATGGGATCAGCGCGATCTTCTTCAGAAATCATAACGCAATGGCAACCACCGCTTGAAGAACATAGGAACGGTCATATTTTGGGATATGTGATAAGATATAGATTGCGAGGGTACGACAACAGCCCATGGACGTATCAAAATATCACCAACGAAGCACAAAGAAACTATCTCATACAGGACTTGATCACCTGGAAAGATTACAACGTACAAATCGCGGCCTATAACGATAAAGGAGTGGGTGTGTTCTCAGACAGTTACACGATAAAAACTAAAGAGGGCGTGCCGGAAGCTGCACCCGACAGTGTTCGATGTGAAGCTTATAATTCCACTGCTATATCGGTGTGGTGGACACCGCCTAATCCGCAGAAAATCAACGGCATTAATCAAGTTTGTATACGTGTATATTTCCTACATTTATACCTGCAGTAACTTGTACTATAGCATACTTTTGTAAAGTATTCAAATGAATACTTAATAATATATAGCAATTCTGGTAAGTTTTGTAAACAATCAAAGATTTATTACTTAAAATTCATTTACTTTTAGGGTTACAAAATCCAAGCATGGCGCTGGGAAGAAAACGAGGGTGCTAATGTAGAACAGAAAATAGTCAGCATCCCACCTAACCTGTTGGACCCTTTGACTGAGCAGTCGGCCATCATTGGTGGTCTTGAGAAATTCACAGAGTACAACATATCAGTGCTTTGCTTTACTGAACCTGGTGATGGACCAAGAAGCGATTATGTTTTAGTCAGAACTAAGGAAGATAGTAAGATATTAAATTTACTAATTAATTAAGCTTTTAAGTAAAAATATTTAAAAGAATAAATAAAATATTATATTTAAAAACTAATTAAATGACGCTCTCATTAGTAGACGTCTTTTGGTATTACGTCTTTTGTAGGCCTCCCCAACCCCTTCCATTTTTCTCTGTTTTTTGCAATCTTTTTCGTTTTTCTACTCTTGGTTCCCATTCCTTAATCCATTTACCCCATCTTTGGTTTTCCAAACTGCTTATTCGCCCTGCCCATTCCCATTTTTAGCTTTGAATTCTATTTTTTTTAAATTATAACTGTTGTGTTTAATATGTGATATTTGAATTCATATTTTCACCTTTGTCATTTATATAATCTTTATTAGTTTATAGTTTATTCTGCTTTTTTTAAATACCAATAATTATATGTTAAAAGAATTATTGAATAACTTCATACTTAAAATAATTTATTTTTAGTCCCGGACGAAGTGGGAAGTCTACAATTCGACGACATATCAGACCGTGCCGTTCGTGTATCTTGGACTCCTCCAAAGAAGTCTAACGGGATACTTATTGGCTACAAGCTCTCGTATCAAGTCAAAGACAATAACGAAACCTACAAAGAAGAAATCCTGCCTCCGAACATTACTAGTATTAGAGTGGAACATTTACAGGTAATCCTCTTTAGTAGTCTATTATGTAATGACTATTTTTTATACATTTTTATTGTATAGAATAAGAGTGACAAGCAAGCACACAACCCACATTATGGTTAGTGGATGCTGTGGTCCATAGACATCTACATCTATCCTCGATTAAGAATCAAAAGTTAAAATATTTATGTGGTAGAGCCATGATACAGCTTTATTACTGGTATAGTTGTAGCATGAATGGGTCGGCTCGACTGGGAAAGAACCACGCTCTCACAGAATACCAGCGTAAAATAGCAGCTTAACGCTGCTGTGTTTCATGTAGTGAGTGTAGAGAACCGAAGACCCTTTTTACTAGATACGAGGCATTCCGTCTTAGTCCTCAGGGGTGACCCTACACTCCTCACCACACGAAACACTACAACATTGAGCTGCTATTTTACGATGGTATTCTCCGATAGCACTGTCCTTCTCTAGTCGAGCCGATCCATTCGTGCTATAATTATAATACAGCTGCAACAGGGCTCTTTCACGTGTCAACATCATTATTAAAAATACAGAGTTATGATTATTTAATCACATTTTGCCATAGCTATTTACAGGAGCAATGGCAACTCCAAGAATCGGGAGTAAGATGATAAGACGAAAAATAGGTGCCTAAGCGGACAAGAAACTTGAGTTTTAAATCAATATCTATATAGCTCACTATGAGGTATTAACGACTCACTATGAAGGTATTGACCTTAATAAATGTGTAATTATATTGAATCTTCAAGTTGAAAACACCGTGTGTCCGGTGTTGTGCAACTTAAGCTATTTCTTTCGCCAAACAGCATCGCACACACTGCAATGTTTTAGTTTTAAAAATAAGAGAGCTATTCTTTCACCTCTTATAGTCGGCCTGGACGGCAACCCGATATGACTTGAGAGGGATAAGGCGTAGGACCAACGGTTTTATGAGGCGAAGTGAAACGTCGCCAACTTCTTAGTTGATAAAGAAAAACAAAAAATTATTTTGTTCCAACTTGCAATACGAACCCGGGTCCATATGATCTTTATATTATTACTTTTGATTAAAAAAAAAAAGAGAAAGACAAAGCGTTGCGTACATATCAAGTGCCACACAAAACATGCTCAATTTCTTGATACGCACTCACTCACACATACATATGCAAATAAAAGCATGTTGTTGGTGGTAAATGACTTCGTGCACATAGTATGTATGTACGTCATAGCTTAGTTTTTGAGCCACTATTGAAGCACTATGCTAGCCGTATGAGGAAGCTCAAGGTCGTTCAGCGAGCTATGGATAGGGCTATACTTGGGTTTCTCTGCGTGGACTTAAAAATGAGGATATCCGCAGTAGGAACAGAGTAACCGATATAGCCAAAGGATTAGTAAGCTGAAGTGGCAATGGGTAGGTCATATAGCTCGAAAACCGATAACCGATAGGAAAGAAAGGTTCTCGAGTGGCAGCTTCGTACCCGTAGGTGAAGTGTAGGGCGAGCCCCCACTAGATAGAGTGACGAGCTGGTAAGACAAGTAGGAAGTCGATGGATGCAGGTGGCTCAGGACCGTGCTTTGTGGTATTAAAGAGTGGATTTGTGAAGTGGTGTAATGAAGTGAAACACTATCAGTTTGTTTGTTTGTTTGTCGGCGTGAGATTATAAGTAAGTGTGGGGTGGTGCGTGGGGCGGTGCGTTGCAGGCGAGCACGACGTACGCGCTGTGGCTGAGCGCGCTGACGGGCGTGGGCGCGGGCGCGGCGCGCGGCGCCAGCATGCAGTCGGGCGTGGAGCCCGTGCTGCCCGCCGCGCCGCGCAACCTCGCGCTCTCCAACATCGCCGCCGCCTCCGTGCTGCTGCAGTTCACGCCCGGCTTCGACGGCAACTCCTCCATATCGCTCTGGACCGTACAGGTGGGCGCAGCCACGCCTTGCACTCTTCCGCTTACTGTGTGTCGCTAGTTGCCATTGAGCTCAACTTATTTAACACACAATGTCATTTTAATTGAGAATTTGCGTTTTTCTTCGGAAGACTTCGGTTTTCAGAGTATGTACATAAAACAACACCCCAGCAGCGGTTTACTCATTAAGTTTTTAATTTATTTTTTTATCCTTTATTAATTTTTGTACTAGGAATAACCGTAGTTTGGTTTTTAATTTTTAATCTAATATATATACAGTATAACTAAATTTTCAGAAAGAAATATTAACAGTTACATATTTCTAACAAACTTACTTCACCTATAAAATACATCAAATATTGAAAAATTGAAAATTGAAAAAATTTTATTGCAACAAAAAATAATTTATACATATCAATGTGCCCTATCTCCTGTAGAGTAACAGGAGATAGTTCCTTCCTATATTTAGCAAACTTTAGTTGAATAAAACACAAAAAAAAAAACATATAGACACGTGTTTCGAAATCTACGTGCGTGCGCGCTGTTTGTGTTTGTGTGTGTGTGTGTGTGTTTATGTGTGTGTGTGTGCGTGCGTGCGTGTGTGTGTGTGTGCGTGTGTGTGCGCGCGCGCGCGCGTGTGTGTGTGTGTGTGTTTGTATGTGTGAGAGACAGAGAGAGTGAGTGTGTGTGCGTACATGATTTTAATTTTTTAAATTTGTATGATTGTTATGATTGCCTAAATTAATTATGATTACAATTACATTTACAAATTAGAGGATAATAGACATTCAGTAGCTTCATAGTCACAAGTTTTCAGCCAATTAATTATTTTACTTTTAATTTGATGGTTGTTGTAGCTCTTACTAACACACATTTTATTAAATTTATTGTATAGTAATGGTGCAAGGTAATAAAATTGTCGTTTGGCAAAAGCGCTATGTATTCTAGGGACTAAGTATTTATCTACTTTATTTCTTCTATTATACTTTTTAATGTCAAGTTTATTGGGTGCAGAGTACCTATGGAATCGTCTGATACATTGGTATATAAATAATTTTTAATTTTAAATAATTTTGGTATATAAATAATTTTCTTACACTAAGTACCTGTGCTTTTTCATACACCTATATATCACCTCATTCCTAAGTCGCACCTCTCTGGTGGCACAAACGTCTTGGAGCCTGATTATCAAAGTCATGGATGCCGGAGGGCTTTGAATCACGCAGACCGCTACCATCCATGTCCAGATAGGTGAGGGAAATACCATTCACCGATTAAGGCAGCCAAATGTCTTAAACCATACAGCCTTCTTTGAGTTGTAATTTGTTCACAAAATGTTTCACAGTTTTCTAATGCATCACATTGCAAAGTTTTTGGGAGATTTTGACGACAGCTTAACCCAACAGACAAATATGACGATAATATATCGGGATCCCTAAGTGGATAAAAACGCCTAAAATTTTTATACCTGTTATATTGCTTCCAATAATAGTTCACATGGGTAGACGTTGAATACAAAAAATCGCACCACTTTTAGAATAGAATAGAATAGAATTATTTTTATTCAATATAAATTATTATATAATACTTATTGAAAGCCATTATTTTATTTACCAGATAGGTATCAGAATCCATTTCAAACCATTATTTAAAAAATTATACAGGAGCTGCAATCCACTGGTGGTCAAGTTCGCAGCAATACTCCTATCTGTATAGGTATGAATATTAATCGTCTGTTGTAAACAAGACGGTTATACCGCCATTTATCGGAAACCATAATTTTTTCTGGTATATCTCATTGTCACCTCTTACGACACCGACAGGACGAAATGAGGTGATGAATTAAATCACCACCACATGGCATAGCCATGGTAGCTCAGGAGTTAAGCGCTCGCTGTAAATTACGTGAGCAACCCGAGTTTGATCCCCGTTGGCACTAATGAAATTATTAATTTTAAGTGCTGATTACCACGTGCTCGGCAGGGAAGGAAAACTTCATAAGGAAACCTGCATGTCTGAGAAATAAGAAAAAAATATTTCGAAGACATGTTAAGTTTTCGAAGACTGCACGGCAGCCATTTCCTTGCCCTAAAACTCTCTCAGAATTGAGAGAAGGTCTGTGCTTTTAACTTTAACTGTATATAGATTGTAGCTATAACTTTAACTTAACATGGCATACCTTTTCAAGAATGTTAAACAATATTTTAAACATTTCCAGGCACAAACCGCTCGCAACTCTTCTTGGGTAACAATCTACGAAGTGAATGATCCGGACGCCGAGTCTATACTTGTCACAGGCTTAGTTCCTTTCACAACTTATCGACTGAGACTAATCGCTACTAACGTAGTTGGATCTTCACCACCTTCGGAGCCGTGCAAAGAGTTTCAAACAATACAGGCACCGCCGCAACACCCGCCACGGAACGTGACCGTCCGTGCCGTCAGCGCTAATAACTTACGAGTTAGATGGATTGTAAGTATTTAGGTTTTTTTTTTCAGCCGAATAACTTAATTAGTTCCTGGCCTCTATTTAAGCATTCACTTTCATTCCCATTAGTTTTTCATTTGTATATCCCAAAAACAAAAAATAACAAAGCTTGCTTACTTTGCTGATTATTATTTTCTGCTTACTAGTGATCTCTATAAACAATTATAGAGATCACAAATATCTACAAAGACACAAATATAAATTAAGATTTACTGGCATGCCTTAAGAGGATTGTGAAGCTGTAAATTTTCATACAAAAAGCAAACAATATTCATAATTTTTGTAAATGTTGTAGATATAACAAAAAACTAGGTCAATACGTTATTATTTTAAAGAAATATTGCGTTCGATATAAGTTATTAGCATCTAAATATCTATATTTTTGACTTAAAAACTTCTTCGAGCGTTTTTATTTTTTTTAATTAAACTAAACTGAATTACAAAGAAAGTAAAACGTATAGACTTAGATTAAGGAGTATTCAATCTAATAAAACCAAAATTGGCTTATTTCGTAAAGGTTTAGGGTGGTTAAAACGTTATCATCGGAAACGATATTTCAAAAAGAAAATGTAGGTCTCCAAGACTTGCAACTCGATCTATCGCAAGATACTGGTCGGGGGGGCAGGGATATATTGTAGTGATGTTGGAGGTGTTATCGATATTATTATCGCCTAGGGAGGAGAAAGTAATATCGATAACCTACAAAGATACCTCTCATGAAAAAGTTAATATCTATATCTGTGATTATTCACAGTTTTTATCGATTATTTAGCATTTATTTTAGAGTCTTTATTGAATAAGGACTCTAAATCAAAAAGATTTCGAGTTTACAATAAAGTAAGCAGGCGATTAAATAAAAAAGTAACAACTTGAAGAAATTATTATTTTGTTTATTAGTACATATTACTTTATTACACTCTTTCTCGAACTGCCATTTTTCTAGGAACTCTTCTGGTAATAAACATTAAAAATAAAATGAGTAAAGTTTTGGCTGCATTTTTGCTGTCCAAAAATGGTCATCGTACTTCATTTTTTCGTACGCCAAACCATATGGTTTATTAAATTAAGTACGAAAAAATGAAAAAGTTGTGTTCATACTACGAAAAAACAAAATTGCCTACCAGTGATATGTAATTGTCCCATGACCTGATAATAGTAATCATGGTTTCTTTTTTCTTTTGTCCTTCTCGTATCACAAAATTTGATTTTTTTTAGTTATAGCCTCCAAATGTGGCATATTAAAATCAGAAATAGGCTATTTGACTTCATTTAGAGAGTCATCTTCAATAAGCCCATCGGGACTTGCCCCTAAATAATAATTATCTGAATCAATAAACTTATTATTGTATTCTTTTTGATTCTCTTTGTCAGATTCAATTCCTTCGCCAACAGGAGTACATCCTCCTTGCACATTACTGTACGGTAATTCTTTGTCTATCTCGGAGTCACTGAAAAATAAATAGAATGATAATAGCTTAAATTATATTTTACGGCTGACTAACGCGGACGAAGTCGCGGGTGAAAAGCTAGTTTACCTATAATTCGGTTCAATGTTTAAATTTAGAATAATTAATTAGTAAATATACATATTATCATGAATAGTAGAAATTGTAGTATAGGTACCTACCGAGTTTACACTGTACTTGGAAAATGCGCCTTGCTGATTCGGAATCGAAATTTTACCAATCAAATCTTTGTATCTCAAAAATTTTAGCATTTTCCTTGAAATCATCGAAATTCCACAGTAATACGAAAAATTTCTTCTAACGGACTAATTTATTTATTATTACTAGACAAGTGGTAAAATTAAAAGTTTTGTACAATCAATTTCTTTTGTAATGGTTGAAATAATTTCCATAAAATTTATATGGGACCAACTGTGAGACATACACTATCGAACTAAAAAAGAATAGGTATTCAAAATCAGTCCACAATTGACGGAGAAATCGGTGAATATACATAAAAAAAACATAGAGCCGAACATAGAACCTCCTCCGCGATTAAAGTAAGTAAGTGAGTAAGTAAGCACGCGTACTTACCTGTTGATTTTAGAAGTTAGTGTTGGCCTTCCTTTCGATTTATGAAGCAAATTGCATTTTTTTAGTTTTGTCTCTAATCTTTCTCTTTCATTCTAAAAGGTAAAAATTATTTTAGGTCAACATTCTAGACTAGTAAGTCTTTAAGACATACATAATATATCTATTAATATTCATCGTTTAAATTCTTTATCAAGCCGTAAATGTCCACAGATGGGTCTCTTGTTGCTTGGCAGGCAGTATGGCGATCTCGGTACGAGGGTGATACGTATATATACGTATATATATATATATACGTTATATATACGTGTCACGCCAGCATGAATTTAACGCGAGAAAATTTTCGTACAATGATTTTTTATAACTTTCGATGACATTTAAGTCAACAAGAAAGTTATGATAGACTTCGATTGGCCTTTTATATATATATATAATGAACGCTCCTGCTGCTGCTAGCGTAGTGTGCGTTAGAATTAGCGTAATATGTTGTATTTGTGTTGTTCACGCCCGAAGACCGGAGGGAGGCAGAGCGAGCGATATGAAACAGATAGCTTTTTTGAAAATAGCTACTCGCGCCGCATATCGGCACTTCACAAACCTTTTAAGCGCAAAGCGCTTAGGTATGTTCTACTAGCGCCTAATAATCAAGATTCCAACGTGTTTGTCCCATAAAATCGTATCTAACAATCATATTGAACATATAAATGATATAAAAAAATCACATTGTCAGAAAGATAAATTATTGTTGAAGTTATTTTTTTTAAATCGATTAATTGTTATTTTTACATACAAAAGTGGTTTTAGTGGCTTATTATGTAGATTTATCAAGTCCGCATGGAGGGGTAACTTTTGAAAATATCAATTGGTTAACTAAATCTATTTTTCTGCCGACTTCCATAAAGGAGACGGTACTCAATTCGACACGTATGTTTTTTTTTATATGTGTTACCTCATAACTTTTTACTGGGTGGACCGATTTCGATGATTCTTTTTTATATGAAAGCTGATACTTCTCGTGTGGTCCCATGTGATCAAGGTCTGACCAATAGTTTTTGAGTTATTTAAGTTATTCTTAATAACTTATATTGAAGTCAGCTGTACAAATTATTTAATTTTAAATTATTAATCTCTTCATCTATCATGTGGGAAGCCATGGAATGAAAATGGCAGTTTACTTTTGGTTTGTTTAGTTATAATTAATTTTTTTCGGCTGAGAATTCTCGAAATGTTCGGTGTTTTGACAGCCGTGTTATAATTTATTTTACTATTATAAATACACTTTGTGAGTGGATTACTGTATCGCTTGCTTATAGCAGCTGTAATAGGCAGCAAAATTATCGATCGCTGTAGAAATACAAACTATTCCAAAAACCAAATTTGAGACATACTTGACCAAGGTTATTATTATTATTATTATAATCACAGATTTTTATTACATTATTTTGTTTCTTTAAAAGTACGTAGGATTTATACTATATAAATGTACTTACTTATACGTACGGGTAGGCGAAGTGTAGGGCGTCCCCCCACTAGATGGAGTGACGACCTGGTAAGACATGCAGGAAGTCAGTGGATGCAGGTGGCTCGTGACCGTGCTTTGTGGCATTCCCTGGAGGATCCTATGTTCAGCAGTCGACTTGTGAAGGACTGTAATGATGATGATGATACGTCTTGGACTTTATGGAGAAATCTGAAGGTGTGCTTTGGTGAATTCTACTAGAACTCCTCGGAGAGTAGAACTATGTGTGCCGAGTTTGGCCTCGTTTTGTTGGTTATAGTGAGACCTTACCTCCAGACTTGATAGAATGACCTGAATTTGTACTTCGGTGAATGCTACTGAAACTCCTCGAAGATTAGAACTAGTTATGCCGAGTTAGTTAGTTAGTTAGTTATGATGAGACTATACCTCCGGAATTGATAAAGGTGAAGGTGTACTTTGATGACTGCTACGGGAGCTCCTCAAAGAGTAGAACTAGGTGTTCCGAGTTTGGGCTCGTTTTGTTAGTTATGGATAGACCTTACCTCAGGACTTGATGAAGTGACTTGAAAGTATACTTCGGTGACCGCTATTGAAACTCTTTTTTTTTAGTTTGGCCTCGTTTCGTTAGTTATGATGAGACTATACCTCCGGACTTGATAGAGTGACCTGAAGGTGTACTCCGGTGAATGCTACTGGAACTCCTCAAAAAGTAGAACTAGGTGTGCCAAGTTTGGCCTCGTTTGTTTCGTTATGATGAGAATATACCTCCGGAATTGATAAAATGAACTGAAGGTGTTCTTTGATGACTGCTACTGGAACTCTTCGACGAGGAGAACTAGGTGTTCCGAGTTTGGGCTCGTTTTGTTAGTTATGAATAGACCTTACCTCCGGACTTGATGAAGTGACTTGAAAGTATACTTCAGTGACCGCTATTGAAACTCTTTGACGTATAGAACTGCAATTTACATTTTTTTTATTTTTCCCGATCATATGAGCATTATGAGTCGTGCACTTTTGGATTTTCCAAGCTTTTTTTAAATTTAAATTTGACATATAATTATCGGAAAATTGGAAGTATAGTATAAATAATTATAATGTTTTTAGTGAAAACTTGTGTGTAATTAAACTACTTTAAAAATTTACGTATAATCAAGTTAATACGTAATTTTTTAATGCGCTTAAGGCATGCACAATTGGATTTACCAATAGTTTTTTTTGTTTACTCTAGATTGCTGCTACTTAAAAGGGCTGTAGTTTGCATTTTTTTTCTGTATACACTGAAGATAAAATAATTAAAATAGTAGTATGTTGCCCGCATCTCTTTCATATTACTTTAATAATATCAATACTAAGGTTTTTTTTAGAAGTAGTGACAAAGAGTGACATGCGAGCACACTGTCCACCTATTGGTAAAGGGATGATGTGGCCCTTGGACTATATCTCTCTATATTTAAGAATTAATAATGTAGATGTGTTGTCACACCTGAGGACTGAGACTCAATGATTCGTTGCCAGTAAAAAGGATATCTGGTTTTCTATACTGACTATTATCTTTTTATGCTGGTATTCTGTGAAAACGTGGATTTCAGAGAATACCAGAGTAGACTCACTCGTACTGCAGTCCCTAGTCCCTAGTCCCTGGTCCTAGTGGCTCTAACACAAATTAAAAATATTAATTCTATATCTTTTCAGCCCTTACAACAAAGTGAGTGGTATGGTAACCCCAAAGGTTATAATATTACTTACAAACGAAGCGGCAGCAACGATACTCTCTTTAGTATAATTGAAGACCACACGGCAAACTCGCACGTATTGTCCAACCTTGAGGAATGGTCTGTGTATGAAATTCGCATGACGGCAATTAACGAAGTTGGAGTGTCAGCGGAAAGTCCCACAGCGGTGGAAAGAACAAGAGAAGCTGGTACTTATTTAACCTTAAATATATCCAAGTTTTAATTATTGTGCGTAACATTTAAAAAGTGATTTGGTATATTTTTGTAAAGCATTAACACACACTATTTATTGATAAATATAATAATAGCCGGTCCTCCATATAATACATATTCATCAATATATTTTTTGTGCAGTGCCTTCCTGCGGTCCGAGCAATGTTTCTGCGAACGCGACCTCATCAACAACAGTCGTCGTCCTTTGGGGAGACATTCCGGTCCAAGATCAAAACGGTTTAATTGAAGGATATAAAGTATGTTATGCTGCAATTGTTCCACCACCTAGACCAGAACATCAGAAAGTGGAGTGCCAATCAATTCCTTCAAATCAGACCCACACTGTGACGTTAACGGAACTAAGGAAATATGTTGTGTATCAGATCCAGGTGTTAGGATATACAAGGTTGGGGGATGGAGCTTTAAGTGACCCACCCGTGACTGTCAGAACTTTTGAAGATAGTGAGTAATGATTTATAAATTTGTTAAAAACTTTCAAGCTATGATTTGCTTTTTACACTAAACATTGTAGTCTTCACCCTGATAAAAGTACATCCTGTTAAAGTCCACTTCTGGACTGGCCTTTCTCGTTGTAGTGTAGGCAACATTTAGCTTAATACTCATGTTTAGCAGGCACACGCCATTTTAACAACACTATCTTTTAAATAAAACTATTTTTACGGATTTTATCGCGTATACTAACTTATTTTTATATTCCCGACGTTTCGGGTGCTTTCCAGCACCCGTGGTCACGGGGGACTGAGGTGTTTGACGTCCTGCTGTCATAGTTAGCCCGGCTACCTTCAGTTTTTTAATATTAATTTTTGGTTCGATTTACGCAGAATGAGCTTACAGTATTTTGGAGTGTATACTACTAAGCAGTGGTATACTTGGGTTTGGATTTGATTTTTATGGGATCCCAAGCAGATGGCAGCACCCATCCATCTTCTCTATTGAAATTAGGATGTTTTTTAATTTCAATAACCTCGCGAATCATCCTTGGGAGGAATCGGTGTCCTTTTGCGAGGATTTGTGGTCTATCAAATCTAATGTAATGGCGGGGACGATCTTGAACATGTTCACAAACTGCAGACTTCCCGATACTTCGGTGCTTCACGTCAGCTATATGTTCTTTAACGCGGGTTTTTATAGATCTTTTTGTTTGTCCTATGTACGAGAGACCACATTCACAATCCAGCTTGTACACTCCTGCATCTTGTAGAGGGACATGACACTTGACGGATGGTAAAAATTGACCAATCTTCTTCAGCGGCTTGAAGTATGTTTTAATGGAAGCTCGCTTCAAGATGTAGCCAACCTTGTCTGTGACTCCTCTGACATATGGTAGTACAGCAGGCACACGCTCGACTGTGGCTGGCTTCACTCGTTCACTGTGACGTAGGCGCGGGACCCGGGAAACGTCGGGAATATAAAAATAAGTTAATATACGCGATAAAATCCGTAAAATTAGTTTTATTTAAATGTGTAGTGTTCGCGTAAATACAAGAAAACACTATCTTATTATATTTTATGTAAAACAGAACTAATATGAGCAGAAAATAACCTTTGGGTTAATTTTATAGTAAAAGAAACATTTTATTTTTTTAAAGCTACATAATAAGTTATTAATACATAGTTTAAAGCTTTAAAGTAATTAAATTTACTTATAAACGGGCAATATTGTACATGTCTTAACACTTTTGGATTACAGTGAACAATACTGTTTATACTTTTTATGCAACAATTAGTGTTGAATTAAAATATAGTTTTCAAGTAAAATATTTCCAGACGAAACTAACTTATTTGTCGATTTTTTTCCTAACATGAACTAGAAACTGAATCATTTTTCAGCACCGGGTCCGCCGTCTAACGTGTCATTCCCCGATGTGACATTTACGACAGCACGCATAATTTGGGACGTCCCAGAGGACCCTAACGGAGAAATATTAGCTTACAAAGTCACCTATCATCTCAACAGCTCCACGCAGCACATGTTCTCTAGAGAATTTCTTCCTTCTGACAGGACTTTCAGGTATTTCTAGTGAATACTTAGTAAATTTCTATTTTATGTCAGAAGGAAATAGTATAGAATTTAGTAAAATATGGTATGTATCTTAGAGATTGAGTCAAGTGGTGAACTGCCAAAACATACAAATGTGTCAACTTGGATGTGGGAAAGAGGAATCAACTAATTAACGTGTAAGAAATATGATATATGAAAAAGAAAATATACAACATGTAACAAAAACCCCGTGGTTCCCGTTAAGTACGTTATCAGCATCAGTATTCAAACCTATAGAAATAACTTTTTTAAAAACTCGACCATTTTTTTATTTTATTATTTTGTTTTTAATTTTATGTGGTTTTATTACCTCTTACTGACACTAGCCGATGCTAAAGCTAATTAAAGCGGGGTATTTGACAATCCTCTTACTCCATAGAGCCCTAGACAATGCAGAGGTAATAAAACCACATACAATTTGGATACAATTTTTTTAAGAAAATAAAAAAAATATTGTTCGAGTTTTAAAAAAAAAGTTATTTCTATACGTTTGAATACTGATCCTGATAACGTACTTAACGGGAACCACAGGGTTTTTGTTACATGTTGTATATATTATAACAATATAATTGTTATGGGTGAATATAATAAAGTTTGGTAATCTTCAGGAATATTTTGTTTATCATACTTTTCAAGCGAGTCAAATATAACATTCAGTTTTTGTATAGATATTTGATACCAGAAACCCGGACAGAGAAAAAAAAATTACAATTAAGATATTGTATTGCGTCGAAACATTCAGAAAAATCCAATAGGTCAATTGTAGCTGTTTCTGTATAATACTTGCAGGATGCAAGTTAAGTAAATAAACCGCGATAATCCTATTTCTATTCTATTTTATACCAAGGTACTACGCTACATGAATCATTTTCTGAGATTCAGGTCCATGTATAAAATAGGTGTAAAGGCAAAATAGCAGTATAATCCTGTGACTGTAATGAGGGTATCTACGAATTTTTCTGGCATCAAGGCAGAGCCACTTAGAAATGAGGTGAAATACTTGACAGATTTCATAGCGGGCAAAATTATTTTGTTAGAAAAATGTACGCGTCAATGATTCTTTCCATATATAGTCACCCGAGGTAAGTTTGACAGTGGCGCAAGTGTAACAAATGCAAATTATGCGGCTTGAACACGTTTTTTTGGTTAAATTCCATCTATTGAACAACGCTGGAAATTTTACGCTATTGACTATACCGACAGTTAAGTAAATAGCTTCAACTATTTTATCGACAGACGTAATTTTTTTTTAAACTACAGTACTCTCTCGCTAATCAGCCACTCGATTATCCGACATCCGCCGTTTTATGGACTGGAGATTGGTCTTGATTAAACTCTGTAATCCGCCGACACTGAAAGTCTTCGACTCGATAATCCGCCGTCTTACCTCTCTTTCATGCGTAAGACGAACAGAATTCTATACTCCGACGCACGGTGCTAAGCAACTACTCTTTAGTCCGCCAATCCGAAAATGGAAAGTCATGCGACATGGTTGCAAATTTAGGTAAAATGCACGATGAAGTTATCAAAAATATATATTTTGGTAAAAAAACAAGCAAAATTAGGTCCCATTTTTTCCAAAATATGAGTAATTACTTTAGTAAAAGATTCATGTTTGTTGATTTCTGAAATATGTACAGTATATAAATAAATCATACATTTTTTTTTTCAATTTATTGTTCCTGTACATTATAATCCGCCGTTTTCTGTAATCCGCCTGTGGTTAGGATTTTATGGTGGCGGATTAGCGAGAGAGTACTGTACTCAGAAAATTTGCCCCATGTGGGGAAAAACTCATTGTTACACAAAAATGGACGTTCAAATCGTTTATAGATTTTAAAATATTTTTACATTAGTATCATGTTTTCAATTTTGTCTAAAACCACAGATAATAATAAACTATAAAAAGAAGCGTATTATCACACTTGCCTCATTGGTGGAGTAAGTGTGACAGTCTTTCACTTGAATTAGTTTTAATTACCTTAAATTACAAAATGCTACTTGTAGATTCTAAAATGCTTGGATCAAACAAACAAGCACTTAATAATTGATGTTATGAAAATGAATTATATGTGTTAAATCCTTACAGAGTAGAAGTAATTAACCCTTGGTATGCCTGTTGGATTGTTATCACGCCGTATGCTTGTTGGGTCTGGCGGACCCGAAATTATTTTACATAAATTAATGCTGTAGGGATATCAGAATGCATGTATTTGGCAATTATATTTATTATATATGTAGGATATAAATAAAAAGGTAGAGCTATTTATCTTTTAAAATTATATATTAATCAAATGAAAATATTGCTTTTTCAAGCTTACAAAAAATAGACTTATTAGTATTTAATCAAATGCTTATATTAAACACAGATATCTAAATCTGACTTTAGTTTATTTAAGGTTCTGATAAATTTGGTATAGTTAGATAACACTATAATAAAAATCAACGCTGGCTAAGGATAATTATTCTGTGCTGAGATAAGTGACAATTTTTGCATAGAAAGTTTGTGTGCTCCATGCAAATGTGACTTGAACACACAATACAAATGTATTTGGATTTCCGATAATTTTTTACCAAACACAAATAACAACGTATTTTAACTTCAGCACAAGGTTTATTGGGTGAAGGGCCTGATGGTCCCCGAGGTGAGCACTGATTCTTTTGCGAAGGCTCACTGAAAGGTGCAAATTAGCTTTTTTTTACAGCTTGATGTGGAGCTATCAATGTCATGCCTAAGCTTTTTAGGAATTCTTCTCTGATTGCTGATTTATCATGTGTTCAACATTTGAACAATTTTTACATTTATTGCAGATGTATTAAGAACAAACGAACACTGCCGTGATCAGACTCGTCCCCACTTTCCTCAAAGATCACGTCATTTTTCACATCTTTCTCTTCTAAACACGTCTTATATCATAATTACTTAATTTTTAGGACATTTTTACTGTAAGAATAAATTTTTTTGTTAATAATTTACGTTATAAAACCATTAAATCACAAAAAATATGAAACATTCACTTACCAAAAAAAAGTCACGCCGTATGCCTGATAGGGTCTTTCAGACGCGCGTGCATTTTACATGCGTGTTGCTCGGATGCGCACACGCGGATAATTTCGGAAGGGGTGGTAAAGTGACCTCTAGTCTATATCAGGAAGCTCTAAAAATGCGCAATTAATCAAACTAAAAACTTTAAAAAATATCGACATTTTTCTGAACTAGTGGGTTTATTAGACCCACCAGGCATGCGAAGGGTTAAGTGCCCATTATAGTTTTAATTAATTTATGTCACACTTGCCTCGGGTGACCATATTAGTTATATTTTGTATTAATTAGATTGGAAATGGATATTTCTAAGGGTAGAAAAATAAAAAAGGTAGTTAATAGAATGTGAAAAAAATTTAAGAGCAAACCACCTAAGCATTGTTTTATGTATTTACATACTCGAGAAACTGATAAACTTTTATTTAAAACCCAACTTCTCAATTATGATGACATTGTAACACAAATAAGTTGACCTCAGTCACAACTAGCGACACCTGGTAAGCGGAAGATTATTAACCGTGATTGCGTGTGAAGGACATGAGTAAGGTGGATGTGGGTGTGGGTGTGTGCAGGGCGACGGAGCTGATGCAGGAGCGGTACTACGTGTTCTGGGTGGCGGCGCAGACGCGGCTGGGCTGGGGCGGCGTGGCGCGCGCGCTGGTGCTGACGACGCAGAACCGCGCCGCGCCCGCGCCGCCCGCGCGCCCCAACGTGGCGCGCTCGCTGCTGCAGCCGCACCACATCACCTTCTCCTGGACGCCCGGCGACGACGGCTACGCGCCGCTCAGGTACCCTACCCCTACTTATTGCAATATATGTGTTTGTACGTGCTAGTACGCCCACCAATGAATTTGTATGTTTATTTTATTTTATTAGGGATTATTTGCGAAACAAGAATTGCCGAATGTTTTTTTTAATGCAAACAGAATTCTTGAATGCTAACCAAATAATTTAAATGCTGTTTTTTGTGGCTAACCAAATTTTGTTACGGCTTAACATTTAATTATTTGTCGTTTATTTTATGTACTACAGATACTACACAGTGCAACAAAAGGAAGAAGGTGGAACTTGGCAAACACTTCCCGAACGCGTGGATCCATTTGCCACATCATACACAGTGGAGGGATTGAAGCCATATACCGGCTACCAATTCAGGATACGGGCCACTAATGATATTGGACCAAGCCGCTACAGCAACGCCACCGAAATAGTCCGCACTTTACTTGCTGGTGGGTAATAACTTCATTTATATCTATTTTAATCTAAAATCTGAATATCGTAACTTTTATGGCAAAAGCATTGTTTATAGGTTTAACAAATTATTAATATTATAAGATTATGCATTTGAACAGCCCCAAGCAAAGCTGTGGAAAATCTGCGAGTAGTGCCAATCACACCAAGCAGCGTACGTGTACAGTGGTCACCATTAGGAGAGCAGCACTGGAGCGGCGACACACGGACGGGTGGTTATCGAGTCTTCTACCAGCCTCTCACCGACTTTCCCACTTCTCTGCAGCACACTATGAAGCAAGAGGTGCCTGGCATAAAGGTACACAATATTTACTAAAGATTATAATTTCATTCAGAGAATATTATTGGCATTTTATAGTTTACTAGCCCGGCATACGTTGTTCTGTCCTTTCCGGTAACTGGTGCGATGAGTTTCACTCACTTTTACAGCGTAAATAAAAATTAATCGAACACATTTCCACCTGGTACATCTAAATTTTGTTATTTTCTTTTTTGGAACAGAACATATTTATATTGTGTAACAAGAGATCATGGGATTTCTTCTCCTTTGTCCGCCGTGCGGGCCTATGGTTATTGACGGACTTTTTAAAATTGATAAGATTCTTAAAACTGCTGATTAGCCACATTCTCGGCGATGAAAGAAAACATTGTGAGGAAAACTGCATGTCTGAGGAATAAAATATTTCGGGGACGTGTGAAGTCCGCCAACTCGCATTGGAGCAGCGCGACAGACCAAGTTCCATGGCCCTCTTAGAAAATTAGAGGAAGCCGGTGGCCAGCTTATACAGGCTTTTAGCTTTAGTTTAATTTACGTCACATAATACAGAACTACCGAAAGAAATAATTACTAAGTACATTCTTCAATTTATGAACACTAGTGATAAATAGGTCCCCTCAAGTGTCATGGCTACCCAATGTAGTTGACAGCTTATGTATGCCCATTTGTCAGCCGGCCCCATATGCCCATTTGACAAGTAATCACGATTCACTATTAAATTAAAAATTAAACGCTCAATTGTTGTGCCATATTATTAAATCTACGAAACAACGTATGTGATAATAATTAACACGTTTTTTTGTATTATGGCGCACGAAGTACCTTTTGAACATCGTTGATTTTTTCACCCAACAGAGCGAGGAAGTGGTGCTGACGGACTTGGCGTTGGACCGTAACTACGAGATCAGCGTATGCGCGGTGAATTCACAAGGTGCGGGGCCGGGCGGAACTCCAGCCGTGGTGTGGGTGGGCGAGGCTGTGCCAACGGCGCCGCCGCGTGACGTCACCGCCGACGCGCTCTCGCCCACCGAGGTGGCGCTCACCTGGAAGCCGCCCGCGCTCGCGCAGCAGAACGGGGACCTGCTCGGATACAAGGTACGAACTTGTATTATTAAAAGTTTATGGTTGCACTTACTCTTGACTCTTGTTGTATTATGAGCTCCTGATAGCTCTTGCTCCCAATCTTTTCGTGTATAGGTTAAACTGCAAAAGTTAATTTTAATACTAAAGACAATAAAGATAACTTTAATACAAAACTATAAAATTGCCGTGTAGTGGCGGTCAAGAATATCCACTACCCCATATCTTCCCGTGGGTGTCGTAAAAGGCGACAAAGGGAAACAGGCAGGAGATGGGCAGCAGCATCTTCCTGATAGTAGCCGAAATTACAATAAAAAAAACTGCGGTTGCCAACCCGCTCGCCAAGCGTGGCAACTATGGCAAATACACCCCTATGAAGAGAGTAACAAAGAGACGGCCCCCAGTCCCCGGCGGCCCCGCTATTTCTGGCTACGGTGGCGACCATGGTAACGGCGGGACAGGGGGTGCTAACAATCTCCGGTGGAGGTTCGGTTGCCACCTTAGACGACTCGACCTGGCAACGTACAACGCATGCACCCTGAGGACTGACGAGAAGATCGTAGAGCTGGAAGAAGAGATAGTCAAGTTACGCTGGCATATTATAGGATTATCCGAAGTCCGAAGAGAGGGGGAGGACACGGTAATCCTCGAATCCGGCAACTTGCTCTATCACGGGGAGGGCGACCATCTTTTTTTTTTTACGGGGGTAAATCCTCATGGACTACCTCCACCTCGGGAAAGGCGGAGGGGCGTGCCGGACTCTTACCGGTTAAAACCACCCCGGTGTCTCCTCACACGTGCGCGTGGGGCCGCGGGAATCCAAATTCTTCCGCAGCCCCACACTAGTGCTGGCCCGGTCTGTCCAGGCCTCGTCTCCTGCACGGGGTAGTGAGGTGTTCAACTACCCCGTGTATCGCCTCAGGGGCGCGCGCCGACACCCGCGCGCGCCTCCGCCTCGGGTCCATCGAGTAGGGGTGGCGGGGGCTTCCCCAAGTCCCTCGCCCCTGGACCCATTTATGGGGGCCGGAAAAGGGCGTTGTCCGCCCTTCTCCTGCGCCCGGTGCGCTTTCTGCGGCCAGGGAAGGGAGTCGAGATCTCCCTTTCCCGTCCGCAGTTTCCTTCTGCGACATCACGTCCTCGCAGAAGGACACCACCGCATCCCACGACTCTGCGCTACCGACCATCTTCTGCACTAAGGCCGGCAGCGACAGATCGCCTCCTACTTTATTTGTGAGGACACGGCGCTGCTCCTCCCAAGCTACACACTCGGCGAGCGTGTGTTGCGCCGTGTCCTCCCCGCAATGGACGCAGTGGTGGCACCGAGCGTCCGGCTCCCTGTCTATGCGGCGCAGGTACTTGCCGAAGCAGCCATGCCCCGACAGCACTTGCGTCACCCTAAACGACAGGGAGCCGTGCCTTCTCCCGAGCCAGTCGTCGAGTACTGGCCGGATCGCCTCGACGGTAGCGAGGCCGGCGGTAGGGCGCAGAAGCCTTTGCCGCCATTCCGCCACCAAGACCTGACGGAGCTCCTCTCGGCGCAGCGCGATCTGCCGCTGCACCGGCCTCGAGCCCCGTGCCCGCTCTTCCTCGCGCCATCGATATAATGACGCGAGTACTTTCGCCTCTAGGTCCCAGGGTGAGGATCCGGTCAGGACGCAAGCCGCCTCGTAGGAAATCGTGCGATACCCGCGGACGATTCTAACGGCCATCGCCCTCTGCGGCTTACGCAGAATGGCGAGAGTGCTGACTGTCATGTCCATCGCCCACACAGGGGCCCCATACAGGGCCATGGACCGCACGATTCCCACGTACAACCGCCTACAGGCGGCGCTCGGGCCCCCCAAGTTGGGAAGCAACGTTGATAGCGCGCCCGCTGTACCCTTCAGCTTGGGCGCCAGCCGCCGGAAGTGGGGTCCGAATTCCCATCGGCTGTCGAGCACCAATCCCAGATACTTCATGGTGGACTCGACAACTATCCGGGCCCCGCTGGAGGGCGACCATCTGTCCCAAGGAGGTGTCGGATTTATCGTACACAAGTCTCTCGTTAACAACGTAAAGATCGGGAGTGTGTCGACGAGGGTTGCGTACCTTATGCTCAGAATCACCAAACGGTATTCGCTGAAGGTTACACAGGTTTACGCACCAACCTCGGCACACCCCGATGAGGAGGTGGAGGAAATGTATGAGGATATCTCTAGAGCCATGCATTACTCCAAAACCCAATATACGGTGTTAATGGGAGACTTCAATGCAAAACTAGGCACAAGAGAGAAAGGTGAGCTGAAAGTAGGGAAATTTGGAATAGGGCACCGGAACCCAAGGGGCCAGCAGCTGGCTGACTTCATGGAGGAGGAAGGACTCTTTATGATGAACTCTTTCTTCCAGAAGCGACCCCACAGGAAGTGGACCTGGTCGAGCCCCGACAGTTCGACAAAAAATGAGATTGACTTCATTATGACGACCAGACGACAACTGTTCAGTGATGTCTCAGTGATCGCGAGGGTGAAAACTGGTAGCGATCACCGAATGGTTACAGGCACACTGAACCTAAACGTTAAGTTGGAGAGGTCTCGTCTAATGAAGTCAACGCTCCGTCCCCCTCGTGCTCTGTTCCAAAGTCCTGAAACTTTTCAGCTCGAGTTACAAAACCGTTTCCAGTGGAAGCTCGTGGAAACTGTCCATGCGGTCGGAGCTAAGTTCTGCAAGACACGCCGCAGAAGAACACAAAAACTCTCCGATCACACTCTTACTCCTGGCTGTTAGACGGGAGATGAAGCTACATTCTTCAACAGATTTGACAGCATACAGGCAATTGAACAGACAGATCTCCAAATCCATGCGGCGGGACTTACGCAACTTCAATACAGCATGTATTGAAGAAGCGATCGAGCGGAACAAAGGCTCCAAAGTCTTTGCCAGAGATCTGTGTGCCAGAAAGAGCCAACTGTCAAAGCTGAAGACCGAGGCGAGGATAGAATTACAGCGGAGCTTCTGAAAGCGGGTGGGAAACCGGTACTTGAAGTCCTTCAGAAGCTCTTTAATTCCGTCCGCCATGGTGGCATTACACCGGAGGCGTGGAGCAGAAGTGCGGTGGTCTTGTTCTTCAAGAAAGGTGACAACGCTCTCTTGAAGAACTACAGACCGATTTCCCTTCTGAGCCGCGTCTACGTGCTGTTTTCGAGAGTCATTACGAATCGTCTCGCGCGCAGACTTGACGACTTCCAGCCTCCCGAACAAGCCGGTTTCCGAAATGGTTTTAGCACCATAGACCACATACATACCCTTCGGCAAATTGTACAGAAGTCCGAGGAGTACAATTTGCCACTATGTCTGGCGTATGTAGACTATGAGAAAGCCTTTGATTCCGTCGAAATTTGGGCGGTGCTGCAGTCCCTTCAACGGTGCCAAGTCGACTGTCGGTATATCGAAGTGCTGAAGTGCTTGTACACAGTAGGGCTACGATGGCTATCCGAGTACAGAACTAGAGTACGAAACCTATCCAATTGCAAAGAGGTGTAAGACAGGGTGACGTTATATCCCCGAAACTCTTCACCGCTGCATTGGAAGACGTTTTCAAGCTTCTGGACTGGAAAGGATACGGTATTAACATCAATGGCGAGTACATCACTCACCTTCGATTTGCCGACGATATAGTCCTTATGGCAGAATCGCAGAAGGATCTAAGCACCATACTCAATGACCTCAATAGTGTCTCCCAACGGATAGGTCTTAAGATGAACATGGACAAAACAAAGATCATGTTCAATGTCCATGTCACACCTATGCCGGTAGTTGTTGAGAGCACTAAGCTCGAAGATGTTGACGAGTATGTTTACCTGGGACAAATAGTCCGACTAGGTAAGTCCAACTTCGACCGAGAGGTCAATCGACGGATTCAACTCGGCTGGGCAGCGTTCGGGAAACTACGACACATCTTCTCGTCAGACATTCCTCAAAACCTTAAAACGAAACAACCAGTGCGTGAATGAAAAAAAAAGCCGCCTCCACATGGTTGGCAAACAGGGAACACCAAACAACAAACACGAACGTGTGGATGGGTGTTTGCCTGTTTTTGCTTGTGTTTGCCAGTGATCGCCGTCGGTGTCGGTTTTTGTGCACAAATCAAAGGGGGACAAAGGGATAAACGTGTTTGCGATGTATCCAAGCGCTTGTTAGCACATTACTTTTAGGAGTCTAACACCGATCCGCGAGCACAATTTAATTGATTGTTCACAACATTTGAAGGAAAGAAAATTCGTGCATAATTAAAAATAAGAGTATGTCGGTGTAATTAACTAGATAAGTCTTGGCCCTGGGGACTTAGCGAAAGAGTCAGGTTGGCCTTTTGACTAAAAAGTTTGGAGAAAAGCAGTCTTCTAAATTATTATCTAGTGAATAATAATAATGTTTTTTCTTACGTTTCAGATATTTTATTTAATGACTGACTCCCCGGAGGAACCCGAGCCGGGACGGCGAGTGGAGGAAGAAATCGAAGTAGTCCCGGCCACTGCAACATCACACTCATTAGTTTTTCTTGACAAATATACGCAATATCGTATACAGGTATAATTTTTTTTCACTAATAAATTTAAAAAAAAATGTTCGTTTTATATATAATTGCGATTACGCAATCAAAAGAAAACTTACAAAAATGTTACTAATATTTTCGACACAAACCTTAATTATTAAAGAATTTTATTTCTAAATTATGTGACTTTCCAACTATTTTTAATGTACTAACAGAGAATAATATTGGTATTATCATCATCTTCATCATCATTACAGCCATTCACAAGTCCATTGCTGAACGTCCTATGTTCCCCCAAGGAATGCCACAAAACACGGTCCTGAGCAACCTGCATCCATCGACTTCCTGCTTGTCTTACCACGTCGTCACTACATCTAGAATTTTGGATTAGCAAACAAAATACACTCTTTTAAGTAAAAATATTGGGCGTTTGTTTTGTTGGAACACCTCTTGCAGTGAAATTTTTTTTACCCAAGAATTTATCACGGCGATATCCAATGGATGGAAAAAAGACGCAAATACCACTTCTGACTCTTTACAAGACGTCCAAGATATATTTTTTTTTGTTTGTTTAAACACTTAATCTCTGAAAATACCGTCATATGCCTATTTCTAATACATAAGCAACAATAAGGTAATTTGTGACAAGAAATTATTGAAAATTAAAAAGTTATTTTTGAGCGTTATTATTAGGCATGGCATATTATGAACGAAAGTTACTTAAGACAATTTTATGACAATAAAGTTTGCTCTTTATAGCATGTTATTTGGACGCATAGTTCTAGAGATAATGAAAATTTTAAATAATTCAACATTCGGCTCGGCGCGAGTATGACGCATATAACCCTAGTCGCCAATGAACTGGGATAAAACAGCAGTGAACGCCTCTTTAAGCGAGTCGACATGTCGCGCGGCGACGCGTGATATACGCGGGTGAAAGCGTAGGCCTAACTACAGTAATATAATAAACGCTTAAAACTGACTTCACAATATTATGTGTGTGAGGTTTCTGTTTGGGCATTTGGCAAATGCTTGGGGATGCAGCACAGTATGAACCGATAATTTTTAGTTTGACTCAATAGCAAAACAATCATTTACCAAGCATTTATCATTGTTGAAGAATATGAAAAATCCTTCAATCTGTGAAAATCATCATGGAAATAATCAAAGATCTCTTACGAGTTAAAGATTAGTGATAATTGCCCCTCTTGCCAGGTGGTTTAGCAATGAGACACCGGTATGGATTTTTGGGTGTAGGAAGTATATAATAAAATAGGATGATAATTTAGTAATTCGGTCTTGGAATTTACAATAATAGTCGAAAATTGCGAAATGTCGGACTGTCGAGGCGGTGTTGAATATTTGTAGGTTTTGTATATTTAGATTTTTCGAGTTGGACGCTGAGTATAATTTCGTCGCGTGAATGTCGTAAAAATCGACAATAAGAATTGCCAGAAAATTCTCATCGCTTCTGATAGCTGATGATGAGGTAACCATTCTTTATGTCAAATGTAATATACTGTATCGTTCTCCCAGGTGGATTAACGTTTTCAGGATCAGTCCCTCCGCATACTTGGGCCTTAGGCTTGACATCCAATGAGAATTTTAAACTTAAAACTACACAATATCAAATTTCGACTTTAGACCATACTGTAATTCATTAATTGTGACATTGTGAAGTTTAAGTCTGAACTCCAAATTGTCCGTGGGCTTGACATCTAATGAGACTTTTAAGCTTAAAACTACATAATATCAAATTTCGTGTTTTGACCATACAGTAATTGATTAATTGTGACATTGTGAACTTTGAGTTTGAACTCAAAATTGTCCCTGAACACCGCTCTAAACGACATTGCACGTCATTGGTATTAATATTTTTTTATGGCTGATCAGGATCCTCTTTTTATCTTTTATCGTAATTTCACTTTCCCTTTTCTTTTGCATTTTCTCCCATTATAGATTAAGGTTAAAAGATATGTGAGTATGTAATGATGTTGGATTTTACAATAAGAAATGAAAAATTTAACAGGTTCTAGCGTTCAACCCGGCGGGCGACGGGCCCCGATCCAGTGCGCTCCAGGTGCGGACCCACCAGGGCCTGCCGTCAGCGCCGCGCAACATCACATTCTCCGACATCACTATGAACAGCCTTGTGGTGGCCTGGCTACCGCCGCACAGGCGCAACGGACTCATAACTTCTTATCTCGTCACCTACGAAACTATCGAGCAGGACGAGCGTAAGTATCACTTTCTTATTGACTGATAAAGGAAAACAGTGTTATATTTTTAATTGTGTTTCATAGTATGCACTTTATTTGTCAGAGTGGATGTATAGGAATACAGGGTAACGTTGAGAAAATAAATAAAATGTCAATTAGCTAGAAAAAGCTCTCAGAAAAAGGAAACAGTATGTCGGCTGTGGGCCGTGCCTTTTTTATAGAAGTAATGCTAATAATGATAAATAAGCAAAGAGAAGAAATAAAAAAAAATAAGCAAAGTCCACCTAATTATTAGCTATTTATGTTTTTATGTACATAAATTACATTTTCTTATAATTATTATATCGCAATATACTTTTCTTAAAATATATTGCGAACATAAAACACATTGGTATTTAAATGTTTAACATACATAACATAAACGTATTGTAATTTTGTCTTATTGCCATTTAAGAACAAATTGTTGGCGTTAAACCAACGTACTAATTTCGATAGAGCATTATTTACGTTCTCAAAATTAATTAACTGTCGTTTAAGGTATCATCTGCAAATAATACTATATCGTGATTGTCCCCTACAAAATAAGGTAAGTCTAGAAGTAATATAGACTAAGAAAGGAAATGGGACAAGAGTCGAGATCCGTTAATACCACTGATTCGTAGGAACCTTTACCATTGATAACGACTTTTTGAGTTCTGATATTTAAATATGAAATAATAAGTCTACGCGCAATATTTTTGACATCGTAATGTTGTAGTTTCCTGATTAATATCTCATGATGAACACTCATCAATATTTACAAACGCTTCGTTTTCTTTTACTAGCCGTTTTGCAATAAATGAAGTGCACGAAAACCCCTTTTTTAAAACAAAATACCAGTTCAACTATTTTGATTTCAAAAATGAGGATTTAGAACTGTAAGTTATTATTATCTTCAATTGTGCACCGATATTTATGATTTTATTTTTATTAAATTTTATAAATATAAATTTTATTAAAAAAATCCATCTCTAAGGATGGAAAATAGGCTATAAATTTTTTCATGTAATTATTTAGATGACATTTCAAGCGTGGTAAAAGCCACGCTGTATTATGGCTGTAGCACGAATGGGTCGGCCCGACCGGGGATGGACCACACTCTTACAGAATACCAGTGTAAAATAGTAGCGTAAAATAGTTGGTGAGTGTAGAGAACCGGAGATCATTTTCACTGGAAACGGGGCATTCTATTTTAGTTTTCGAGGGTGACAACGTATCTCCATTTTAATTTTTAATCGAGGATAATAATATGATGTTTATTGGCTTCAGCATCCATTTATCATAGGGTAAACTGTATCACCCTTATTCTATATAAAAATCTATTGTTGAATTGAGTCTGTGATATTTTTAGTTCACTAGATTATTAAAATATTAAACTCTTAATGTCTTCATATATTGGGGCTTTAATTCTGTTCACTATGTTTTATGATTTCAGGAAGCTATTATACGGGAATTATTTACTTATTTTTAGTTTATTGAAGTTGGATTTTACATTTATTTTTAATTGGTGTTGTTACTTTAGCTAGTTCTAAAATCCCTCAATATCTTGGTATACTACGTGTGTCGTGTGATTCTATGCAAAACCGAAATAATAAATATTATAATATAATATAACCTATATTTTATGTTATTTGTATAATACTCTATTTTTTATTTTAACAATACTATTTTGTTGAACATTCATGAATAGTGTATTAAGAGGATTGTGAAGCTATAAATTTTTTATATAATATTTATTGCTGGAAGTATTGTAGATATAATGAAAAACTAGGTTCGTACGTTTTTATTTTAAAGAAATATTGCGTATGATATATAAGTTCTAGGTATCTAAATATCTATATTTTGGACTTAAAAATTTCATCAAGTGTTTTTATTTTTAATAAATTTTTAATATTTTTTAATAAAGAAATACGTACAGACCTAGATTAAGGTGTACTGAGTCTAATGAGACCAATGTAGTCTCATTTCGTAAAGGTTTAGGGCGGTGAAAACGTTATCGCACGGAACAATATTTCAAAAAGTAGGCGATTGCCTCCAAGTTTTGCAATTTTCTCTGTTGTATGATATTGGAGGCAGCGCGTACGCTATGAAACAGATATCATTATTGATAATAATTTAAAATTAAAAATTTTGTACAGCCGACATCACTATAAGTTATTAAGAATAACTCAATAACTATTGGTCTGACCTTGATCAAATTCATATGGGACCACACGAGAAGTATCAGCTTTCAAATAAAAAAAGAATCATCGAAATCGGTTCACACAGTAAAAAGTTATGAGGTAACACACATAAAAAGACATACAGTCGAATTGAGTACCGTCTCCTTTTTAGAAGTCGGCAGAAAAGAACTAGTCGCGCCGCGTATTGGTAGTTGAGAAAGGTGTTAAAGCGATCGTTGGGTGGAACAGGATACAGCAAGCAAGTGAAGCAGAAGGTGACGGAGGAGCGGCTGGCGGTGGGCGGGCTGGAGGAGGAGGTGGAGTACCGGTTCTGGGTGCGCGCGGTGACGCTGGGCGCGGGCGCGGCGGCGGCGGCGCGCGCGCGCACGGGCCCGCAGGCCGGCTCGCCCGCGCCGCCGCGCGCGCTGCGCCTGCGCAGCGACCCCGCCGCGCTGCACCTGCGCTGGGACAACGCCGCCTCCGGCCGCGGCCCGCTGCTCGGATACTACATCGAGGCCAGGAAGAAAGGTGCCCGCCACGCCTTTTGATACCGCTCCAGCCTGCCTGCTATACTCTACTGCTGAACATAAGCCTCCCCCATACATTGCCTCATAGGGGCGATATGTGCCATAGTTGCCACGCTTGACAAGCGGCTTGACAACCGCAGTTATTTTGAGCCGTTATTAGGCCGACGCTACTGCCCATCCCCTGACTTATTTCCCTCTGTTGCCTTTTACGAAAACCACGGTATGATATGGAGGAATAGATATCCTTACGCCGCCACTAAACGGCTTTTTTTACTATACTATAATTCACATGTTATACTATCGAAGCAATTTTTCACATTTGTCGAAATAAAATGTCAAACACCACGTATTTTACATTTATGTATTTTTAAAACGCGATAAGTAAAATGATCGCAAATAAACCATAATCTAAAAATTTTAACTTGTACAAAAACTGACTACTTATTATATAATACGGAGGCGAAAATTTATTACCTTTATTCTTATTTTTCTAGTATAAATATATACAAACAACAGCACAGTTTAAATAAATACAAACTACAATGCCAAAATGTTATCCACGACAACATATCGATACCACATCCGTTCCTGGCCATTAGTAAACAGTGGTAAAAACGAATTAAAAAATATTAGTTCGGAAAAGCTATTATAAAAAATCATTAACAAGCTTAAATACAAACATCAATGTTTTTCGCGAGAAAGACCTTGCTCTCACGGATTACTAGCATTAAAGATCAGCTATATAGTACTAAGTTTCGTTTGGTGAGTGAAGACACTTTTCACTAGAAAGGAGGTTTCACTAGAAGGCCTCGCCTTTCATCTTAATCATCAGTGGTGACGAGGCATCTACATTTTGATTCTCGAGGATAGAAATGTATCGTCTATAAGCCACAGCATCCACTTATCATCAGTTGGACTGTATGCTCGTTTGTCACCCATAATCTATATTTCGAATAAATAAAGTATCAAGAAATTATTATTATTACGAAGGCGGTATTATTGTAAGAAATCCTTATTAAAATATTATTACCATATTAACTAGATTTCTTTATTATCTACATTATAATATTATATATTCTATGTTATATTAAATTATCTCTTTATATATTAATGTATTAACGTATTTTATTTTTATGCAGCAAAGGAAACATGGCAAGCGTGTAAGTTTTGTTTCTACCCCTACGAGAATAACACGCATTCCTCTAAAATTACTCGTAGATCCTACATTACACCTACTGCTTAACTTACGATTGCATTGTAAAGGCGCAATATCATTATTTAATAGTAGTACTAAATTAATTTTCTATAATATTAATATAATGTATACTATACATATAAGAATAATATATAAAGTATATATGGTTAAGTATATTTTATACAACATGTAACAAAAACCCTGTGGTTCCTGTTAAGTACGTTATCAGGATCAGTATTCAAACCTACAAAAATAACTTTTTTTTAAAACTCGACCATATTTTTTCTTATATTATTTAAAAAAATAATAATTTTATGTGGTTTTATTACTTCTTACTGACACTAGCCGATGCTAAAGCTAAGTAAAGGGGGGTCTTTGACAATCCTCTTACTCCCCAGAAAATGCAGAGGTAATAAAACCACATACAATTTGCATACAATTTTTTTTAAAAGAAAATAAAAAAATATTGTTCCAGTTTTTAAAAAAAAGTTATTTCTATACGTTTGTATAATATATAACGGGAACCACAGGGTTTTTGTTACATATTGTATATATGGTTGATGGGTCATTTTAAAAACAATATAAGTAATTACTTACAATGCATCTATCACATTATCTCACCATGCCCAGGATCGACTGGGAGAGAATACCTAAAAGCATTAAATCCGCCTTTTGTGCACCTTTTTATATAAGTTAAGGCAATGAAGTATAAAGAAATAATTAACTAAAATATCTATATTGAGAAATAAAGAGTTAAATATAATATATATTATTTATACTGCATTGTTGTTTTTTTTCCTTTGATAATAAAAATAATTCTGTTAAAATATTTATATGAAATTTAATGCAGTTCCTACTCATAGAAAAATATTGTTTTGAATAGTTCTTAATTTAAAATTAGATAATTTTTTACAGATGACACAAGATGGGAGACGATAACAAGGACAAGCAATGGAATGTTAGAAGAATTCACAATATCATACCAAAGCCTCCTGCCCTCGACCGCCTACTCCTTTAGAGTTATCGCATACAATATGTACGGCATAAGCAACCCAACGTACAGCGACAAAGTGATCGTGACTCCTTCGAAGTTATACCTGGAGTACGGCTACCTGCAGTACCGACCGTTCTACAGAAGAACTTGGTTCATGGTGGCGCTGGCGGCGGCCTCCATCATCATAATCATAATGGTTATCGCCATACTTTGCGTGAAGAGCAAGAGCTACAAATATAAAAGTAAGAATACTTTGCTTATTCTGATATAAGAACTTCTCATTAGCTGTGCCCCAGACATAAAACTGTCCTATCCATTGATCCACCCAACCTGTACGGTGCAACATCGTGCATTCTCCCGCATCGGCATTTTAGTAATTAAACTCTATGCGCAACTGACCTTATTTATTAATATTCTACATAGTGTTTTGGTGTTTGCTTACCAATACCGTCGCGTGACTCAACCTTATATTTTTACCTAGCCTCGTACTATATTGTGAAATCTCAATAAATCTTTGTTTTTTCTCAAGATTGTGTTTAAATCATACATCATCAGAACAAGTAAAGGGTGTGATATAACAAGACCAAACATCTGTATGGTCCTTCGAGCCGGATCATACAGATGTTTGGTCTTGTTATACCACACCCTTTACTACTTGTTCTGATGATATATGATTTAAACACAACAACACAGTGTTGTACATAGACCTTCCTCATAGGGGGAACTCATATAATTTGTCATAGTTACCAGGCTTAACAAGCGGGTTGGCAACCGTAATATTTTATCGTTTTGAGATGTTATCAGGAAGATTCCGATGTCTTATCTGTCGCCTCTTACGACACCCACTGCCATATTCTTAGACCGCCACTAAACGGTCCTATATATTATGTAGATTCAAGTGTAGGGAGCCTACAAAACTATAGTTTTAATCATCATTACAGCCCTTCACAAGTCCACTGCTGAACATAGGCCTCCCCCAAAGAATGCCACAAAGCACGGTCCTGAGCCACCTGCATCCATCGACTTCCTGCATATCTTACCAGGTCGTCACTCCATCTAGTGGGGGGACGCCCTACACTTCGCCTGCCGGTACGAGGCTGCCACTCGAGAACCTTTCTTCCCCATCGGTTGTCGGTTCTTCGAGCTATATGGCCGGCCCATTGCCACTTCAGCTTACTAATCCGTTGGGCTATGTCGGTCACTCTAGTTCTACTGCGGATATCCTCATTTCTGAGTTTATCACGCAGAGAAACTCCGAGCATAGCCCTCTCCATAGCTCGCTGAGCGACCTTGAGCTTCCTCATCCGGCCAGCAGTGAAGGACCACGTCTCAGTTCCGTATGTCATCACTGGCAACACGCACTGGGTGTACAGTCTCGTTTTCAAGTTTTGAGGTACACCCTGTCTTACACCTCTCTGCAATTGGATAGGTTTCGTACTCTGGTTCTGTACTCGGATAGCCATCGTAGCCCTACTGTACAAGCACTTCAACACTTCGATATACCGACAGTCAACTTGGCATCGCTGAAGGGACTGCAGCACCGCCCAAATTTCGACGGAATCAAAGGCTTTCTCATAGTCCACATACGCCAGACATAGTGGCAAATTGTACTCCTCGGACTTCTGTACAATTTGCCGAAGGGTATGTATGTGGTCTATGGTGCTAAAGCCTTTTCGGAAACCGGCTTGTTCGGGAGGCTGGAAGTCGTCAAGACTGCGCGCGAGACGATTCGTAATGACTCTCGAAAACAGCACGTAGACGCGGCTCAGAAGGGAAATCGGTCTGTAGTTCTTCAAGAGAGCGTTGTCGCCTTTCTTGAAGAACAAGACCACCGCACTTCTGCTCCACGCCTCCGGTGTAATGCCACCATGGAGGACGGAATTAAAGAGCTTCTGAAGGACTTCAAGTACCGGTTTTCCACCCGCTTTCAGAAGCTCCGCTGTAATTCCATCCTCGCCTGGGGCCTTGCCGTTTTTAAGGTGCTGGAGAGCCATTCTAATCTCGCTCAGACTGACGTCCGGGATATCATCGGAATAATGTCGGATAAGACTCGCTCTTGGATCGTTACTCACACTTGCGTGCGGCACCAACGATGACGTGTACAGCTGCCCATAGAACCTCTCAATCTCACTCAAAATCTCAGGTGCCCCGGAAACGATGCTGCCACATTCTGTCTTCAGCTTTGACAGTTGGCGCTTTCTGGCAGACAGATCTCTGGCAAAGACTTTGGAGCCTTGGTTCCGCTCGATCGCTTCTTCAATACGAGCTGTATTGAATTTGCGTAAGTCCCGCCGCATGCATTTGGAGATCTGTCTGTTCAGTTGCCTGTATGCTGTTAAATCTGTTGAAGAATGTAGCTTCATCTCCCGTCTAACAGCCATGAGATTAAGAGTGTGATCGGAGAGTTTTTGTGTTCTTCTGCGGCGGGTCTTGCAGAACTTAGCTCCGACCGCATGGACAGTTTCCACGAGCTTGTCATTCAAATCGTCCACTTCATTGCAGTCTTCTAGGCACTGAAAACGGTTTCGTAGCTCGAGCTGAAAGGTTTCGGGACTTTGGATTAGAGCACGAGGGGGACGGAGCGTTGACTTCATTAGACGAGACCTCTCCAACTTAACGTTTAGGTTCAGTGTGCCTCTAACCATTCGGTGATCGCTGCCGGTTTTCACCCTCGCGATCACTGAGACATCACTGAACAGTTGTCGTCTGGTCGTCATAATGAAGTCAATCTCATTTTTTGTCGAACCGTCGGGGCTCGACCAGGTCCACTTCCTGTGGGGCCGCTTCTGGAAGAAAGAGTTCATCATAAAGAGTCCCTCTTTCTCCATGAAGTCGGCCAGCTGCTGGCCCCTTGGGTTCCGTTGCCCTATTCCAAATTTCCCTACTTTCAGCTCACCGTTCTCTCTTGTGCCTAGTTTTGCATTGAAGTCTCCCATTAACACCGTATATTGGGTTTTGGAGGAATGCATGGCTCTAGAGATATCCTCATACATTTCCTCCACCTCCTGATCGGGGTGTGCCGAGGTTGGTGCGTAAACCTGTATGACCTTCAGCGAATACCGTTTGGTGATTCTGAGTATAAGGTACGCAACCCTCGTCGACACACTCTCAATCTTTACAACGTTGTTAACGAGAGACTTGTGGACGATAAATCCGACACCTCCTTGGGACAGATGGTCGCCCTCCCGGTAATAGAGCAAGTTGCCGGATTCGAGGATTACCGTGTCCTCCCCCTCTCTTCGGACTTCGGATAATCCTATAATATGCCAGCGTAACTTGTCTATCTCTTCTTCCAGCTCCACAATCTTCTCGTCAGTCCTCAGGGTGCGTGCGTTGTATGTTGCCAGGTCGAGTCGTCGTAGGTGGCAACCGAACCTCCACCGGAGATTCTTAGCACCCCCTGCCCCGCCGTTACCATGGTCGCCACCGTAGCCAGGAATAGCGGGGCCGCCGGGGACTGGGGGCCGTTTATTATTGTCATTGCTCATGTGGGGTATATTGCCATAGTTGCCACGCTTGGCGAGCGGGTTGACAACCGCAGTTTTTTTTATTGTTATTTTGGCTATTATCAGGAAGATGCTGCTGCCCATCTCCTGCCTGTTTCCCTTTGTCGCCTTTTACGACACCCACGGGAAGATATGGGGTAGTGGATATTCTTAACCGCCACTACACGGCACATATATAGTTTTAATAGTTATGGAGAAAAGTCTCCAAGGAAATTTAAACCTTACACTATTACTGTGAGATTTAAATTACGTTATTATCGTCGCAATTGTATTAACTTCATTTGTAATTTTTTTAAAACATCGTGATAGCATTTTTCGGTCCATTTCCAACAAGACGAAACTTCCGAAGAAGCTATCAACTACATAGAACATTTTCAAATACCTCCATAAGCAAACCCAGTTACGTGTAAAAGTGATAAATCCAAAAGGAGACCTGGATGTCTTACCACAAATACCAATCAGTTGTCAGTTGCACAAATATATTCTTAAACTGGTATTCGAACCAGGAACCAGACTCAGTAGCAAAGTTCTCTGATTATTTATTTATTTATTTTTTGATTATGATTATACTGGTACGCGTTGTTGTTTATGTTAGTTTGTAAATATCTTGCACTTTTTACGCTGCTCCAATTTTACACCAAGGTTGGCGCTCGCAATGCCGAAAGTTTCTCACCTTTGACGCTTGGCCTACTAAAAGTAGGCTATTTACCATCCATAGAAATACATAAAATTTGATTTGAGTCAGAAATCATTGCGTATCGATTATCCAAACTAGACATCCGTAACAACTAGATATCCAATTAAACCGATAATAAGAATTCAAATCCAATGGGATTAGCTTTCTTTCTTCCTAAGCAAGCATTTTTAAATTGCACTCGACAAATTTTAATTTTGACGATTTCTTGTATGGAAGAATTGCATATTGAAACCAAAATAAATCAAGTATCTACTCTTTTTAAAATATGTAATTGACATAATATCTAAGAATAAATATATTACTTATCTTTTTGAATTTATTCTTTTGCGTTTGTCGTTCGCTATTAAAACCAAAATTATGGACTACCCATCGAAACTTTTTTTTAGATTTTCTACTTTAAATAAAACTTTCCGAAAAAATCCACGTCAAATAGTATTTATAGTCGACTCTTGTCACGCCAGAGTACGAGATGAGATGAGATGATGAGTTCCGTTACGTTTCGACTAGTCGGCTGAATGTTATGCAGTTTCTAATATAATATCTACTTCTAAGTCCACTCCTGAATAAAGTTCTTTTCAAGATTGCTTCAAATGACATGCAATCAGAGTACCTATTTGACTTTATTCACTATGCCGGTTAAGGGGGTTGATGATTATAAACTTGTTATCTACTAGTGATGCTACTCCTCGTTGCCAGATGATTTGGGTTCGGTATTTTGAATGAAGATACCGCAATTAACCGGAGATTTGTTCGTTAAGTATATCCGCATATTGGTCAATAGTATGATGCCGTTTGGCTAAAAGTACGTTACGTCCTCTTTGCACCACTGTGACCACACATGTAAACGGTAATTTGTCAGAAGAAGCGCAAAAGACGCTGGAGGAGTCGCTGGCGGGCGAAACGGACGAGCGCGGGTCGCTGGCGATGGAGCTGTACCGGTCGCGGCAGAACTCGGCCGGCAGCGCGGGCGCGGGCGCGCTGGCGGGCGGCGGCGGGGGCGGGGGCGCGGGCACGCTGCGGCGCGGGCGCGCGGCCGCGGGCGCGCTGGGCAAGGCGCCGCCGCGCCCCTCGCCCGCCTCCGTCGCCTACCACAGCGACGAGGAAAGCCTGCGCGCCTACGACGAGAACCCCGACGACTCCTCTCTCACCGAGAAGCCCTCCGAGATCAGCTCCTCCGACTCGCAGGTGATCACCATAAAAATCAGCGTCGTCTAAACGCCCACCGTTCCGGTCACACTAAACTCTTATATATTTTTTTCCACTCCCACCCCACGAGGAGCTCCCGACGGTAAATATCAACGATTGATAGCTAATGTCAGATTTTAATTTGTACGTCACGCTTTCATTCCCGATCAGCACTTTAAAGTAGGTGACGCATTTCAATTATCGGTGGGATTCATTTCCCGTACACGATATTGTATATAGTTGTAGGTAAATGTGTTTTATTACTTCGTTTAGTATCTTTGCTACATATGATTCTATCATTTGTTATAAATTACAGCTAAAATTGTCTTTTGAATTTAATTAAAGGTCTAGTTATAATATGATAAATTTCCTCCTTAAATCTCACCACAATTTCATTAGACTCACAATACTTAAATCATTAGTAATAAATAAATTACATAAAGCGTGAAAATAGCAAATTCTCAAATTATGGGTGACTTTCAGCAATATTCAATGAGATGAAATAGAAAATATTTCTGAAAAGTCAGTCATAATTTGTGAGTAATACCGATTTAATGCATGTGTATTATACAAAATACGTTCAACTATAATAGCAAACGTCATGAATGTTGAGCGTTCAACACTTTTGGTGGACCTTATTTGCGCTGATTAAATTTTCTAACTTGTGTTATACGATTGTGTACGTCAAATTATATGGTGCTTACATCAAACACAACCTAATAAGCGAACAAGAACCGAATCTAATAAGCGACCCTTCATTAAACACGCAAAAAGTCACTGTGCAAGGAAAGTACACAACGCTCATAATCCGTGTCGTTTACTATACTTTAAGTCAAAATGTTGATATTGTTAGTGTATCGTTGTTATATAGAAATGTATTGGTGATGTTTAGAATTCAGAGAGCGAGAACGAGAGCGTGCGTTCGGAGCCGCACTCGTTCGTGAACCACTACGCGAACGTGAACGACACGCTGCGGCAGTCGTGGAAGCGGCAGCGGCCCGTGCGCAACTACTCCAGCTACACGGACTCGGAGCCCGAGGGCAGCGGCGTGGTCAGCCTCAACGGCGGCCACATCGTCATGAACAACATGGCGCGCTCGCGGGCGCCGCTGCCCGGCTTCTCCTCCTTCGTGTGACACGAGCGCGCCTCGCACTGCGGCCCTGCGCCTAGCCTCGCCGACCCCGCTACGACTACTGCTACTGCCTTATCTTATATTACCCTAAAACATTTTCAATCTTATTAAAAACGTGGTTTATTGATAGTCTCACGTTTAAACTGTGCTAGAAAAGTGTTTCTCACGAAAAACGCCCCTCAGTGGCGGCGACACAGTCTTCGGGAAATTTTACATTATTTCCTGTCAAATTTCATACATTACATTTTAGTACATATCGGATTCGATCCGTCTTCACATGATTTATTGATAAGTCATTTTTGAGGGATGTAAATGACTCCAAAACAATTTTTAGGATAAATCGTTTAACAATTTGTCTTATTTTATCAATGTGTTTCTTTTAATAAAAGTTAGCAAACCCACCTTACACTGCCCATTCCATTATTAAACTATGAATATTTTGCGTATATATATATTTATAATCTATATGTAATTACGACTTTAATGAATTTTATTAGACATTTCGATAGAAACGTTGTTTGAACAATTTGAATCCTTTGTACTTCTAGCAATAACTGATATAATTTAATGAAAAGGATTAAAGCGAGACACGCATCAATAAGAAAAATATTATTATTCCTATTGAAGCATCTCGAGAACGAGTTTTAACGTTAAGTAAATATAATTTTAAGTTTTTGATAATATAAGAAAATTCCACACTAAATTAGACTAAATAAATTATGTTTACTATGTACCATACTCTTATGCTATTTCGACCAATATTAGCTCTTTACTGTAGCCAGTGTCTATATCACGTAGACAACTATTATAAACTTTTAAGACATATGCGTAAAACCTTGAAAAGGTAAATGTTCATGTAAAATTATTATTAAAACCTCCTGTTCAGTTTTATCTATTACTATTTATTACATCATTGCTGATTCCACGCAATCTTAAATGTTAAAATCTAGATGGAATAAACATAAAAATATAAATTATAAAATGATTTAAAAATAAACTGCCTTAAAAAATAATACATTTTTGATCTCGTTAACACAATATAAAACAAAATGTATAAAAAACTTTTAAGTTGTGTACCTACAGACGTAACCGTGAAAGTCGCTCCTTAACTCGAAAAAACTACTTATTCAATTTTCATACGAGTGGCGATGGTGATACCTCAGTAAATGGAGGAAGTTATGCCTACATAAAAACGATAAAGATGTATCAAAACGACGTCGATGCAAAACAAGCCAGGTACCAGTACACAAGTGGGTATGGTCGCGATGTAGTCGCTCTTAGTGTATTACATGGTGTTCATTTTAGTTTAGAAGTTTGGAGCTTTACAGTGGTGTGATATTCATTTTGATGCAATTTTTTTTAATCATTTAAGTTTAACATAACCACAAAGTCAATGATTTTAAAATAATATATGAAACTATTGTTTCATATATCATTGTGATCATGCTTTTATTCATTGTGGGATCGTTATCGCCACCTTTTAAAAATAATAATACTGCTGTAAGCATTAACAACACATAACATAAATAATAACATCATTGTACGAAGTACGAGCGACCGAGCTTTGCTCAGCGTTAGAAACATTTTTTTTTTCAAATATTTTCAGCAATGACGCCTATAAACTTGGAAAATAAAAACATCTAAATAAAAAAAATTATCCAAAAAGTTAGAGCAGTATCCGGGAAACCAAATGACGTAATGTAATATGCAAGAATTGCTGGTTCTAAATATAGGATTATAGCAGTTTGTTATTAATCCATTTCTATTTTATCATATTACCATTTTAAGCAATTATTTTTACTTTCGTCTGGAACTGAAAAAAGATATGTCTTTGTCAAACTTTTCCCTACTTCGCTATGTAATCTTATTCATTATTATACATTCATATACAAAAACACTCACGCCTTTCACCCAGAAGGGTAGGCAGAGACTACTTCTTCTTTACATCCATATATTATGTACCTACGCATACATGCTTGTCGGTTAAGGGTACTACTAGTTTGACCCATTTTCAAGATATCGCCAATTTGACCGATAAACTTTCGTCTAGGGCGTCCCTTCCTGACTCTGCCGTTCACATCTGCAACATAGATTTGCTTTGTCACTCTTTCCTCGTTCATTCTTTTATTACTATTTATATTTCTAATAAAACTTGCATTTGGTATATTGAATAAGGTGCTGAAATTATTACCTAAATGGTACGTTAAATGTGCATTAAGTATTATTGAAATGTATTATTCAGAAATAGATATAAATAAGAATAAATTGTATCAAACTGTTTACAATTTGAAACAAAATACAAGAACGCAAAAGAAATTTTAAAAGGTATTTTATTGTTGTTACATTTGCCTTTATAATTTTTTAACAAATGTTAACTTCCTTTTTCATTATTGTATTAGCTAATTTTTACAAGGTACGGTATCTGTTTGCGAGTGTATACCCTTTTTAGTAAATTTATTTCATAAGTTATGTATAAATTATAAGTAATCTAAAAAATAGATTTGTAAATATATTTTATCTTAATCAATTTAATAATAAAATTAAGGATATAAATAATAAGAAATAAAATACAATGAGCCTTCGATATTAGTAAACGAAACTTCAATTTAATAATTTAATTTTGTAATATTTTTATAATAAAGTTCTGTAATTAGGAACACGCAACTGACTGATAGATTATAGTATAAAAATAATGTTAATAACAATCATGTTGATGTGTAATGATGTAAATAAATGTTAAATGTAACTGTAACCAATCACGCTAATTAAATCAAGCATTTATGCTTAAATTTGGCACAAGTTATATAAATCAACTGTGATGTATTTTATTTTCAATAATAATGAATTCCTTACTAAAATAGAAATAATAATTAAAATATCACTGTGGTATGACGGTTAATAATCATGTCTTAAGATGCACTTTTCTATTTTTGTTCACGAGTTATCCAGTCGTCGATCAGTTAGCATTGTATTAAAATTTTCTATTTAAGTCAAAGTTGTTTGATGAATGTTTTGTGACCAACTCCGGTGCCATTACTGTAGCTACTTAAAATTTTATTTCTTGTGTAATGTTTTTGTTACACATACATAATTTTTTTCTTTATACAAAGACTTGAATAAATTATGATATTATACACACAGACAATTTCAGTTTCATCCAATCATATTAAAAAAATGTTTCCCATTAATTTAAATTTATAACACATCCTTAATTAAATGCATGTTAATACTGTTCCTAAAGAAAAAACAAACAAAATTTAAAGATCAAAGTATAAATTTCTTATTTTAGCTTTCTCATAAAGCGTGTAGAAAAATTCGCCATGTCTATTACTGCAGTTTCAGACCAGCACAGCATGTTATGTAACTGTTTTGGAGATGTTGCTGAAGTAATTAATAATGTTTGTATTTAGTGAACAACCAGGTATTTGTCAGCAAATTAGTCGATTTTGTAGACCCAACCTTGGTACTACAAATTCATAATATCTCATATAATAAATTGAACACTTTCTACAAATTCCAAGGTTGGATCTACAAAGTCGGCCAATTTGCTACTAAATTCTTGTTTTTTTTTCTCGCTTAAAGGCCTTAGTAGAACCATTCAGCGAGGAAAGGCAGTCAGCGTTTTTGGCACTAAACCACGGGGAGTAGGACTGTATGATATTTTTTTTATAGTTTTTGTTTTTATTTATTTGGTTAACTCATTCGTTACCAAGGACTCGCCTCGCGAGTTTATTAGAACTGCATACTGGTGGCCCAGAACTCGATACGCGAGTCTTAACTATTTATCGTATTTTCTTCAAAAATACAAAGAAAAAAAATGTAAATTCTAAATTATCAGCCACTTTGAATATTGTTTTATGTCATAAAACCGCGGCTCGCATGTCAGATAAGTATTTTTTTTTATAAAAAAAAACCAAAGATGAGAATGAGGAGTGGCGGCGGGGATGGCGAAAATTGACTTCATTTTGATTTTAGAGACTCGTCGGGGTCGTTCAGCTGGTAATCTTCTGATCTACCTGACTTATAGATGGGCGGAGGCAGTAGAGTCCAAGGGGGAGGCACTGGCCGTTAGTTTGGACATTGCGAAGAGCTTCGATCGGGTTTGGCACAAAGCGCTTCTTTCGAAGCTCCCTTCCTATGGGCTTCCCGAGAAATTGTGCAATTGGATCACCAGCTTCCTTGCAGATCGGAGCATCAAGGTCGCTATAGACGGTGCATGCTCCGAATAGAAGCCTATTAATGCTGGTGTTCCACAGGGCTACGTGCTATCACCAACGCTGTTTCGTCTGAATATCAATGATATGTTGCAAACCGGTAACATTCATTGCTATGCAGACGACAGCACTGGTGATGCCTTATATACCGGCCGTGCCAATATTTCTCGGGAAAACGTCGCCGAGTACCGGAACAAACTTGTGTATGAAGTCGAGTCTTTGCTGAACAAAGTTTCGAATTGGGGGCGGCTAAATCTAGTCCAGTTTAATCCTCAGGAGACACAAGATTGCGCGTTTACCGTTAAAAAGAACCCCTTTATCGTATCTCCTCAGTTTCAAGGCATTCCCCTAATTGCCTCAGCCAGTATCGGAATTCTCGGCGTCGACATATCGAGAGACGTGCACAACGCCTGCAACTTTACAAGGCGAAGGTTCGGCCACACATGGAATACTATTCCCATCTCTGAGCTGGGGCTCCCCAGTGCCAACTCCTTCCACTCGACCGCATCCAGCGTAGAGCGTCTCGAATCGTCGACGACCGAGTCCTTTACGATCGGCTCGATTCATTGGCGCTGCGAAGAGATCCCTATGCATTTTCTTTCGCATTTACCACGGGGAGTGCTGTGAGGAACTGTTCGGATTAATCCCAGCCACCAAATTTCACGAACGCACGTTGCGGCAGAACTCCCGATACCATCTGGATGATTGGCGGTAAACCACTGTGCGATTTAGAAGATGTTTTCTTCTTCGCACAAATTCCTTGTGGAATCGATTACCCCATCAGCGATT